TACAACTGTCATCAACCGATTCAATTTAGAGTCATTGATGGTACTGCGCTTCTGCTGGAAGATTACTGTTTTAGATTTTACTCTGTGAGTGAATTTAGTAATCTGTGATATTTCTTGCAAGTTAAAAATAATTTCTTTATGTCCGTTTTCTCCAAGAGTTATTTATAGCTGTTTAATTTTTTGTAAGCATTGTTACTTATATCTATAACAGGGTTCGTACACATTTCTGCACACGGAAATTAAGTACTTTTAAGGACCATTAATGAAAAAAATTAAGGACCTATGAGCATACGGGAACTGATTAAATTCAATTAAAAATAATTTTATGCCTGAATTTCACTTTTCTAATACCATCCTAAAAATAAAATAGATCCATAAGTAATATGCATTATTAGCAAACATAAATTATAATTATTAATAAGTTAGAGAATAAAATAAACTTCATGCAGTTAATCAAGTAGCATTTATAATAGGTTGTACATATGTGAAAGAAAATAAGTGACATTTACGTTTTACTAATAGTTAGCTTTATGCTGAATTTTTTTAATGTCTTATTTTGTCACATACTTGGTCAGTCTAAAGCAGAGGTTCTCAACCGGTCGTACGCAAGAAAAAATAGGTGGTACACAAAGAAGCAAAGTATTTTAAAACTATTTATTTCAAAAATTAAAACCCCAACATCCTGATTGAGTTTTTTCTCTAACACTCGTAATTGAGCGATCTGAGCTTTGTCAAGAGTGGTGGTGGTAGTAGTACTTCGTGGTACTAAAGGTTTTTCAATTTTTATTCAATGTCAATTAGTCAAAAGGTTGAGAACCGTGTCTAAAGGTAGTAAATGCATATTTTATGTCAAACTGCATAGGTTGTCAGGACTTGTTTTCTCTCGATTTGCTTTGGAAATATGGAATGCCCTGAATAAGAACAGGAGCGTACTTAAGCTATGTTCAAGATTTGTGGTATAACAGACGACACAACAGGAAGGGTATACGAAACCATTTATTTCAATACTTTACAGGCACTCCGAACTTTGGATACAGACCAACCACTTGTGGTCTGAACGTAAGAATATTAAAAACTACTAACTAAAACTCTAACTAAAAGCTAAACTTTGAATTATACAATGCCTAGCTAAGACTGGTCTTTATTTAAAGGTACGTTGTAGTACGCCGAGCTGCTGAAACTACAATACGTTGCAAATCAAGAGAGCTACACTCGGCCTTAAAGGCAACCAGCAACCGAGTGAAAACTCGTAAAACTGTAGTGGCAAGCGGCTTGCTTCCTAAAACTTCTGCTCTCTCCCTCTTGGCAAAAAGCCACAACATAAGTACTTGGGCGTTAGCAAGACAATTTGCATAAACAAGTTAAAGCATTTAATTCTGGTCGGAAGTAGAAAATAAGAAGTGATAGTGCAGTTTTAAAACAAAATAAACGTTAGTAAAACTTAGGATCCTTACTCCTTACAAGGTTAAAATGAGAAGTATCATAATCAGCATCATTCATAATAAAAGACTGAATGTCATTACCGCTGCTGCTTGTTTAGAGAGAGACCTGCTCATTAGAACAAACCTGAAAGGCATGATGTAGGCACGGTTGGCAAGTGTTAAAAGTTAGTCAGGTTCTAATGCAGTTAGTGTCATAGCTTCGTGTAGAGTTCCAGGGGTTGTAACCCAGTTAATATACTTTCAGGTTCCAATAAGCCATTAAAGCACCAGAGGTGATAAGCTGTTTTGTATTAAGTCTCACTAGATGCAAAGAATAAGCTTTACTGAATTTCTACATTTTTTGTGTTATCTTGTGACCACAGTGAGTATTAATATAGGCATAACTCGCTTTAATATGTAGAGATAAATTTTTATGGGTAAGCAGTTTAGTTATAAATAATTAAATTAGGTAAATAGGTAACCTTAGTGATTATGGTTACATGGCCACTATTAAATTTATTTCTATTAAAATGTAATAAAGTTTCACAGTTTAAAATACATGTTTATGACACTGATTCTTAAAGGATATTCGAATATTACACATTAAAAGCTACAAAACATTTATGTTTTGCAACAACAACACTCAACAAAATATTTATCCGTCATTTTAATTTGAAGCCTTCTGAAACATTTTTCCTAGTTTATACTGATTGCCTTCTCTTTAAGCACCTTTTCTAAGAATAATTAAAGATTTGTCTCAATATGCAAACCAATGCTCTCACTAGTTTCTGCATACTTTACCTCCTAACTTGTCAACCTCTCCACAATGTACCTATGAATGTTTTACTTGATCTGGTAAAAGTTAAAAAGTCCAAAACCCCAGACAGACGTGAAGCAAATTATCACTATGTCTGAAAGTAATTACAATAACAGATAAAGGTTTAAATAAGCCTCTTACTTAAAAAGAACTTAGAACATAAAGGCATGTTCTAATGCTAACAAACAAAATCAATTACATCAAACAAACAAAATCATTAACAATATTTGTTAAAAAAGCCCTATTAAAATTAAAATCTAATAAAATTTCACAGTTGAAAATACATGTTATTTATGACACTGATTCTTAAACGATATTATAATAATTACACATTAAAAGCTACAAAACATTTATGTTTTGTAACAACAACACTCAAAAAAATATTTATCAGTCATTTTAATTTGAAGCCTTCACAAACATTTTGGCTAGTTTATACCGATTTCCTTCTCTTTAAGCGTATTTTCTAACAAATAATTAGAGATTTGTCTCAATATGCAAACACCAATGCTCTCACTAGTTTCTGCGTGCTTTATCTCCTAATTTGTCAACCTCTCCACAATGTACCTATGAGGGTTTACTTGATCTGGTAAAAGTTAAATAATCCAAAACCCCCGATAGATGTGAAGCAAATTATCACTATGTCTGAAAATAAAATAAACATTAGTAAAAAAACAAAGTAAACCCTCATAGGTAAAATAAAGTAACTACAATATCGGACAAAGGTTTAAATAAGTCTCTTTGAAAAGAACTTAGAACAAACATAAACGCATGTTCTGATGCTAACAAAGTCAATTATAGCTCATGGTGACGTAATTAAACAAGAACAGTCAAATTCAAACTAAAACGGTGGACTAGTGGTAAAAAATTATACAATTTAATTTTAATTTAATCTGGCTCAATAACTCTATCATATGAGGAAACAGAAATGGAAAATTATAGTAAAGGCTGAAATCATAAACAATTGCGTAATTTACATAATAATAACTGCACTATTTTTAAGAATAATTTTGTTTATGTATTCAGTTTCTTTCTTCAGCATGTTTCTTTTTCATTTTAGAATTTTTGGATTTAATTAAGGATTTCTGTTTTTCTAAAATTACTAAATGCATTTAGAATGTATAGAAAAAGTGAATAATTTAATTTCTTTAGTAAAATGGAATTCAGAAGAAATATGAAATATATATATGGTAAAGGCCGGTTACAGAGCTGATGTGGCAGAATTTTTAGAATTTAGTGACATACCAAACAACAAAATCTAGAAATGGCAAAACTTTTAGAATTTAGACAGGCATTAGAAGCAGAATTTAGAAAGGCACTATGCAGTCGAATTTAGGATCCACAGAGATTGCATCAAATGGGAAAATGTGTATGATGCATTAAAACATATTAGATGGATCTTTTAAATTGTAAGTTTTCCAATTTCTTTATTAATAAAAAATCCCTTTCTATAATGCCTTGCCCAAGTGATACGATTAGAAGCATTTTTGATATTTTCCATGCTTGTGTCTAGTGAAAAGTAGAGAAAATAAAGGGAAGATAAACATGTTAAGAAAAAGATTCTAGTATCAGGAATAAAACACTCAAATATTATTCATGTCTTCATTGTTCTTCCAGACGTTCTCCAAAAAGTAAGAAATTCATCGCAAACATTCTGTAAAATACATCCATTACACGCTGACACCATAGAGACATTTTTCACTTTGTCACGTATTTCTCGAATCTGCTAGAATCGTGGGTCTATAAATCTTGCTTTCAAATCCTTCTAAATTTTCCAAGCTGCAATGTCAAAAATACTAAAGAAAAATTATTCCAACCAATTCTGTAACAGCAAAAAGCCAGAAATATTTTTGAAAAAAAAAAAAAAAAAAAAAAAAACAAGAGGAGGGAAAAGTGTAAAATTATTACTTTTATAGACGAAACTGATGCATATTCTGAGAATTTTGAATATTCCGAGACAATTACTTAGGAAAAACGCTTACTATTAAAAAATTAAAAAGAAGATATTTTTAATTAATTACATAGAATGTTGCTTTTGCTAAAAGTTGTTTCGTAAATTGTGCTTTATAGCATTATACCTTGTTTATTTTTCAGATTCAAAATATTGTATAAGTTGCCAAAATAAAACCTTATAATATGATAGCAGAAAATAAAAATGTTTTATTTTAATGTTATTTATCAAACTTATGATGTTTTTAAAAAAAATTGTCGAAAAATTCTAATTTTAGAATTAAAAATTTTATATAGAAACTCGTCTTAAAATCACCAAATTTAGAACCGTTTAATAAAAGAATTCACATTCCCAAAAGCGAAAATTGTTTAAGAGCTCTTAATAACAATAAATAAATTTCGAAATGCTTATGTTTCACTTCTTGCTTAGAAACTCGAGTATCCCATCATTTATATTAAAAATAGAAACAAATTATAAGCCATGAACCCATTCAAAAGATAATTATATATGCCAGTGAATCGCCAAAGTATTCCTCCAAAATGCTAATTCACACTCAAAATGGCAGTCGTAAAAACAGACAGAAATTTCAGATGATTAAAATTAAGGATCTTCTACTGATTTTGGCCAAAATTAAGGACTTTTAAGGACCAAAAAATCAATTCCAAAAAATTTAAGGACTCTTAAGGACCGTACGAACCCTGTATAACATGTCATGCTCTTCCTTCTCCTCCAGCTAGTTATAATAGAAATTTCAATGAACTTGTGGAGTGCAGCATTACATTGACATCAAGGATTAGAAAATGAATAAATGTGATTAAAAGACATACATATTTTCTTTATTTTGCTTAGATTCATTTATACATTTTCAATAGATTCAAAATTTATGATTTATACACAATCATTCGCTAAAATATATTTTTTATGTACAAAAATCTAAAGGCACATCAGTGAACAACAATCCAATATACAAAAATAAAATATGCAACATAGAAAATGTTCATATTCAATACTGTAATCTGTAGATAGAATTTTTGGCAAGTTTAACATTATCAATTCAGAAATGATGCATATTCAAATAACTCATTCAAATGATAAAATTATAAAATGAAACGAACTGAATAGCACAGCCATTTAGCAAAAGATGGTTACAAAACTTTATTACTTGTTACTGAATAAACACTGTATAACATTTTAGTATAAAAAATGTAGTAAGTTAGTAAAAAATACTGTTTTTATTCAGACTATAACAGAATTCATGTTTACATTTAAACTTATCCATGTATTAAAAAAATCTAGACAATTATTATTGAAGCTCAATTATTAATATAATTAAGAACATATTCAACAGTAGTATAATTTTACTTTTGTAATAAACAATAGATTTAAACAATATTTAAAAGCTTAGAAGTCTACATATTTGGTGAAATTTATTTGTCAGTGGCTGAGATATCTTCAACAATCTACTCTTGTTGCATTTATTATCAATTATTAAGTATTGTTTTAATACTCCTAACAAGTTTGTAATAACTTCCTTTTTATACAAGAATTAACTTTTGCGTGATATCTCAAATATTTCCATTAGAAAATAACATTAGAAAATTTAACATTAGAAAATATTTTGGTAAATGTATTTGTGCGCTATAGAGCAAGAAAAAGTGGGACATGAAGCACAGAAGTGATGACACACAACGCTCAACACTGCAAATGCAATGCAATTCCAACTCATAAATGCAAAGATTTAGGTATAGTTAATATATTTAAATAGTAACTTGTGTGCAGTAAGTATTATGTATTAGTTTGGTGCAAGCATTTGTAGAACTTTTTTATGGGTTATCAATGCAACATTGCTAAGAGTTTGCTGTCAATTATCCCATTACTGTTGCTTTAATTTGTAATTCTGCAATCATAAAGAGATAGTGTATTCTAGTTATGTGCACATTTTTATTTACTTTGCACAGAAATCAAGATTCAGTGTCAAGTGGACAAAACTGATCATATGAAGCACATTTTGCTTTTTGAATTTAATCATTGATCAAGTGCAGCAGGAGCTAAAAAAACAATTTGTGCCATGGCTCAACTCACACAAGCAAATAGTTTTCTCAATTCTACGGAAATTAAATTTTACTACCCCTAAATCTCCGATGCTCCACGTTCAGTAAGACTAATTTTTTTTACCAATATAGCTTACATCAATATCATTTACAAGAATTCCTGTCAAGCAATGCTAACTAGAACAATTTAGGGAATGTGGCTATTCAACACCATTGTGTATATCAACTAATAACACCATTGTGTATGACAGACATTTGGTAAGGTACAGAAATTGGATGCATGAGTGCACATAGGTTAAGTGATGATAACAAAAATCAGAATTTAACCATGCATGTGTCTCTCTAACCATATTCAAGAAGTTTTCCCTGAGAAGTTGGTTTTGATATTTGGATAATTAATTTCTTCAACTCAAAAATACAGCAGATTTACAAGCAAGGCATCAAACGCTCCCTTAGCAGATTGTCATAGACAACAGACATGACTACATTACTCACAAAGTGAATGTTGATATAACTGTGTAATGTTGGATTACAGTAATAATGTTTCATATTATCATCTAAGAAGTTATGTCAATTAATGACTATATACCTGTTAGTGAAAGCAATAAAAATTTATATAATTTTATAACAGTACAAACTCGCACAAATCAATTACATAGATGAATTAAATTCTTTAGATGCCTAATTAGAAAAATGAAAGAGAAACATTTAATAAAGGTATGATACAATAAAAAGTAATCTTTACTGTTATAAGAATAGAAACTTATTTTTAAAGCCACTCATGTCTTAATTATACATAAATGTCACTAAATACTGCATGAATAAAAAACATTAAATTATGCTGCTTTTAAAACAAAATTTAAAAATGTGTAAAATGACTCTCAAAATGAATCAATAAAAAGAAAACAAATTAGAAATTTAAAGTCTTTTCTTATTCTTAGTACCAATTCATTAAATGGCTGAAACTGGTGGTAAAAATAATACGATACATATAAAAATGCATTTATATAAGATTGGCCATCAATTCTTTTTTTATACATCTATCTGATTCAGAATTTAGTTAAAATATATTATTTTTCTCTGAAATCAAATATATATATATATATATATAATTTACAAGGTACATTGGCCCCAATATATGAGGGCTATTCAAAAAGTAAGGAACGTTCCCGTCTGACGTCGCTAGGCGCTCGCCGATCACTGATCAATGATTTTGGTATCTGCATGCTCGGCATACAGCCATCACAGGGGGAACATTTCCACGCTGCCCTTTTTTTTACATTCAAATTTAAAATGAGCGCTGCAATTGAAAATCCCGCCAGTTGTGCGGTGCAGTTTGCTTTTGCCGGCAAAAAACCTAAAACCTATGGAAATTTTATTGGCAAGTGAGTGAAGTGTACGGAAACAACGTAATGAATGAAAGTTCAATCCAGAAATGGTGCATTCAGTTTTAAAAATGGCCGAACTAAGGTTCACTATGAAGAGAAAAGTGGACGCCCTAGCATTGTGACTGACGGACTGGTTGCTAAAGTTGATGAAAAGACTCGTGAAAACCGCCATTTCACAATAACAGAGCTTTCACTTAGTTTTCCACAAGTTTCACGCACTTTGTTGTTTGAAATTGTCACACAAAAGCTAGGCTACTGCAAATTTTGTGCAAGATGGGTGCCGAAATTGCTTACAGACCACCATAAAGGTCAGCGAATGGGGGCAGCTTTGACATTTCTGGAGGCCTATGACAGACATGGGTGAAACACGTGAATTCGAGACAAAATTACAGTCCATGCAGTGGGGGCATGTTTGCAAACCTTGTCACCAAAGAAGATTATGGCGACTGTGTTTTGGGATAGGCAAGGTGTGCTTCTGATTGATTTTCTCGAACGAGGTGCCACAATAAACTCTGAGCGGTACTTTCAAATTTTGCACAACCTTAGGAGAGCAGTTCAAAACAAGTGCCGAGGAAAGTTGATGTCCAAAATTTTGTTTTTGCACGACAATGCCCGACCTTAAACGGCAAACCGCACTCAAGAACTCCTTAATTCATTCATGTGGGAGGTTTTCCCTCATCCGCCCTATAGTCCCGATCTTGCACCTAGTGGTTTTCACTTGTTCCAAGAATGAAGAACTGGCTAGCAACGCAGCGCTTTGACGACGACAAGAAGCTGCAGGTGTGCGTCACTGAGTGGCTGAGATCACAGGCGGCAGAATTCCATGAAAGGAATTTCAAAGCTTGTCCACTGCTATGATAAGTGCTTCAATTTGTTTGGTGACTATGTAGAAAAGTAGAATTTTAATCGTTCTTTCTGATGTATATAATATTTTTTTTTCTTGTACTTGGTTTCTTTTTAATTCCAAAATGTTCCTTACTTTCTGAATAGCCTACGTATTTGATTTGACCTTTTTATATAGTTGATTTGAAAATTTATATATTTGATTTATATTTATTGTATATTTGATTACCTTCAATATATTTGATTTGAAAATTTTCGATATGTACCTTGTAAATTTTCAGCAATAAACTAAATGCACAGTAATTTAAAAAATGATTTCTGATATTCAGTTATTTGTTCAGAGAGATTGTTTCAGAATCATGGAATAATTAAAAAGGGGGATTCATTGAAATAAAATTACATAAATTTAAAAAAACAGGTACCTTATTCATGCGATACTATTTCAATGGTTAATATACCATACTATTAAACTGAATAATTTAAATAATGCCACTTTCTATCGCATGTTAGATAAATCTAATGCTCTTAACAAAAACATAGTAAAATTCTTTTTTCCTATAAAAGTGATCACAGTCAGTGAAACATGAATTTGACGAATAAAATGTAAATGCAAAAGACTAGAAATTACAATCAACTATCTGTAACTTCTGAAGTTTTTGGCTGCGGTTTCATAGGAAGTTCTGGTGCACTATCAGATTCAGAATATTGTGACAGTTGAGGTGATGTAGTCCCTTCCTTCACAGGTAATGGAGGTGGAGGCTGCAAAACAATTTCTAATGAATAATCTGTGCTATAAAATACACAATGCTTCTACAAAGTTTTAAAGTAAATTTTCTTGTTTTTCTTTCAGCACACCTGCTAATTGACACCATTTATTACTAAGGTGTCTCCCAAAATACTGTCTGCCTATGGACAGAGTTTGTAAACTGGAGTTGATTGTTTATATTGATTAAACTGGAGTTGATTGTTTATATCTAGAGAACATCTGCTATCTAGAGAACATCTGAATATTGCACTGAATAGCAATATTCAGTGCTCAGCTTTTAAATATATACACACAAACACCTGCTGGTTAGGGAGAAGAGCCATGACCAATGACAATACATTGATTGATGTAATATTAATGTTGGCTAGGATCATACCTTTGGTCTTTGAATGGTTGTGGAGGTGAGCACTTTTCTATCTAACCTAAACAATAAATGAAGCCTAAATTTTGCCATATTTACATGTCATATTACTAGATTTAAACTGAGGATCTAAAATCCAGAAATTTCCGAAATTGGGAATCACTGAAGTCCCGACGATTCTGAATATCGAACTTTAGACCCTATTAAATTTGAATCCCTCATCACTTACTCATATCTGCTAACTTTTATGAATCCTTAGTAATTTTTATGATACTTGTTCTAATCTTGTGAATCTACACTCCAAATCCTTTTCTCTTTTTCTGTATTTTTTTAAACCCTAACAATAATCTCAATGTGGCGATTTCTTACCAAATCTGCATTTAAAGCCGGGTCTTTCAGCAGAAATTTGTGTTTTAATTTGTCCTTTTTATTATATCGAGAACAATTTCTTTTCTTTTTGCAATGTTGGCAATTTTTAGTATCAGTTTCTGTACAAAGTTTTGATTTGGATTTTTTCGAATTTCATGACTTTTTTAAAACCAAAATTCGTGTAATGATGTAGTTATGGTGTTATGAAAATTATCTTCTTAAGAAAAGAAATTACCATAAATTATTTTTAGTTCCTTCTGCAATGTTTAAAACATATTTACCCAACATTTTGATGATTTTTTGAATGCCTAGATTCCGGAATAAATTTGATTAGAAAATTCAAACATTTTTTATTTCTCACTTTATAAATCAATTGAGTTTTATTCAGATTCTATGCTTTCTTTCTATAGAATCTAAGGTTGCTTTCTTTGCTAAATTTAAAATTTTGTATTGGTAATTTTCTCTTCCAGTAAATGTGTTCCTTTTTGGAATATAGATTTTTCTGCTGCACATCCCCAAGTTTAGCATCTTATAAATATGGCAGATACCGTTTTATGGGATCACATTAGTTTTCAACTATTTGGATAACATTAAACAATGAGGAAAAAAGTCCTCAAAATATCAATGGAATATAACTAATTTAATATATATACAACTAGAAACATATAAACAATTTTATAGCATTTTAATTAGGGGGAAAATATCATTAATAGTATACTGAATGTAGTTATAATGCAAAAGTTTTATTTATGAACTGCTTGAAATGTTTCTGGAAATTACTTGACCGATGCTGTAACCTTAATTCTTAATACTTGGAGGACATTGCTCATTTCAGCATTTGTTATGAATATGGCAACTTCATCATGATCATCTTTGAAAAGTTTATCTTACGATCTGCTTTGATTAGCTTTAGAAAGCAACTGGCAGATAGCTTCTTTTGTCGTTAATGCCGCAACTTGAATTTTTTAATTAGTATGTTTTAAATCTCTCAAATTAGTTAGAGATGTTTTTCTTCCTCAATTTCATCATTTATTAAGAGACTGGCATGCTTAAAACAGTTCTTTATTGTCTTTTCTGAGACACATCCCAAGATATGCTTAACAAATTTACCACATCAAGAAGACTAGTTTTCCTTGCTGATTCTTTGCACATATATATGTAACCTTTATGCTGTAAAGGATATTAATTCTTATTTCACAGTTATAATATTCTTTCATATCCTTAATAACATTTTGAAAACACTAGTTTGATTTATGGCTTTGGTATTTGCTGATTAATATGCACTTCCAATATTCTTAAGAGAGGCCTTTTACATCATGGCCGCTGTGCACTTGCCAGTAAGAAGGCTATCATTCTTTGGTTGGTTATCCCATTTCAAAAGCAATTCTAAAAAATATTGATATCATCTGCTCTTTTGAGTTATACTTGAAATCCACTGGTAAATTCTTTACTCTTTCAAAGCACTGAGGATTTTTTCTTTCTTCTCCCATTTTCTTTTTTATCACATGGATTGACATTGCACAAAGTGAACATTACGCACTGACACAGCATTAAGTCTTATCTTTTGAACTTTTAGTTTTTGCAGAAGGTGCATTTCTTTCTTCATCACGAATACCCTTGTTAACAATGTTTTCTCTTATTTGCCATTGACTAAACTAACAATCTGTTGTTATAAAATCACCTTATTGTTAGCCCATTCACTTCCACAACTTTTTTTACAAACATTTTGAAATCAAACTTTCATTGCTTTCTCAATGTTGTGATCTTACCCACTATGTATCCATTTAATGTTTACATCACGATTTTGGTTTGATTTGCAAATTAATATCTTTACAGTTCTTTAAAATCTTCCATGATGAAGGGTTGATAAACATTTAACTCAAAAACAGTATTCCATTGACTCATTTCTGAGAGTTGGTCATAGCAGTTTAACAAGTCAACTTTATCCCTTAGATTAATGGTTTTCAAACTTTGTCAATACATGGGTCTTAGAACTATAACATTTTTTTTGGTAACTCTATCCTACCCTTAGAAAAATATATCTTAACAATAATATTTACAGTATGTTATAGGTACTTTATGTAAGGTCAGTTAAAGAAAATTAATGTAATTTACTCATCACTAGCATTAACACATGCTCTAGGTGTCATCTATCCTTGTTTTATATTTAGTGATGGATCTATAATTTATGTAATTAAATTTTGCTTACAAAATTCATTTTAAACCTTGATACACTTAATAATACAACTTACAATTTAGCATTACCAAAACCTCAAACTGTCCAGTTATTAAATATTTACTGTATTTCTTGGATTTACTTCGTGTGAAATAGAATGTGGCTTATGATGTGTACAATGCTCAGAATGTGATTATGTAGTCTTTGAAATAATGTAATATTATGAATCATTATATAAATTTCAGTGACCTAAAACAAGGATGAGAAATTAGCCTTCAAAACTTAAAAGAAATCACATTTGCACAAATTCTTTATATATATATAAGCTTGTTAGAATATGCTGAAAAAATGCATCATTTGCAAAGCTGATATCTACCTTGAATATCTTAACAAATTATTGCTGAATGGAAATTTAAATTATTGCATTAAATCTGCAAACTGGAATAATTTGTAATGGGATTACACATATAAAAACCCTGTATAAATTCTGTTGGTTAATTCTTGATTACTGTATTGCTCTTAACATAGACCTAACCATGAAAAATGCAACAGCAAGCTCATAAACAACACTGCAATGTTTTATTTTCTTATATTTTGATCACAGATTGTTAAATGTTAAAAAAAAAACTTAAGTAGTTTTTATTACGTTAAATGTTCCAACTTAAGTTAATAAGTTTTTATTGTTATTATTATTAACTTTTCATGAAGCCTTATACATCTACATTTCTCAAAGCATTGTCATTTGGTAAAACAGAAGGTCTTTAATTTATGTATTTTCTATATTTAATCAATATGTATTTCATTGGTAAAGATAATTTGACAGCAATAAATGCACCTCTAAACCATTTAAATCCTTATTTTATATAACAATAATATATGAAAATATAAATTAAAACATATAAATTTAGATTATATCATTTAAATTATAATTCTTATAAATATTTGCAGCATTTTGAAAATTAATAAACTCTGTTTCTAACATCATATATTATCATATATTATGAGCAGAATCACTTTGTATAGAAGCATTTAGTTTTATAATAATAGAATTATTCCTTTAAATATTGGTCTTATATATGTAATTGCAATTATTTCAACTCATTTTATAATAAAATTATTTCTTTAAATATTGGTCTTAGACATGTGCTTTCAATCATTTAATGTTATATTATAATGCATTTTTTTTTCTTTAAATGATAACTGTAAACTTGTACTTAGGAAGTACTCACTGCACAAATTCCTCTGGAAAAACTATCAAGAAATTCACAAATGGTTGAATCAACATTTTTATAATCAAATTGGTTTCAAAACAGACAAACTCTCAAAAAGTCATTTAACACAACATATAACAAAGAATTCAGGTGTAACACACAGAATAAATTCAAACAGAAACATCTGATAAAAGTAAGCATTTCACACACGGATTTGGCAATAAGTCACCAAATTCGCACAATTTTTGGCGATTTAAAAAAAAAAAAAAAAATTGCAAAATCCACAAAAATTGAACATTTGCAGGTAAAGTCAAAACAAAAAAAGTTTGGAGAAAAAATTATGAAAATTGTGTAAAAGCTGGCAGATATAAAAATAATATGTTTGATTTCTGATAGATTCCTAATTTCTTCAATGGATTTTTGACTATTTTTAAATTATGTTTCAGAAAAATAATGGTTAGCTTATGTTTTTTTCCCTACATCTCATGTTATAAACACAAAACAGTGTTTACAATTTATATTTTTAGTTTAATGCTTTGCTTTTTTAATTTTTGTAAATTAATGTGAAATTTCTCTCTAAGTTCTCCTTGTGTTTCTTACAAATGTTATTTTTAACTACATGAAATTTTTATATTTTAATTGCTGAATGTAACTAATAATGGTGAATGTAAAATAAATACACTTTTCATAACATAAATTTAAATTAATACTTTTAACCTAATTTACTTCTTACAATTACTAATACAGCTAGTGAAGTTTTTATATCTTAATTGCTAAATAACTTTTACAATTAATGTAAAACAATTTGTTGAAAACTATCCAAAAACTTACCTTATTCTTGGTACGTAAAGACAGGCTTAATGAATTCTTTCTGGAAATAGTATTAAATTGCATATCTTCTGAAATATTTGTATAATCAGCATAAGCCTGCTTTTGTGGTAAAGGAGGTGGTTTTTCTTCAGGTGCATCAATATCTGTCAATGAAACAGGAGACATGGCAGAAGGTGTTGATGGCAATGACAAAGAGTACAATGAGGAACTTGGAGCTTAAAAGAACAATGGTATAAAATGTAAGATACTGCATATAAAAAGGTAAACATTAAAAAAAATTAAAAAAGAGAGAAATATTTGAAATTACATCGACTCATCCGGGTGGGTGATGGAGTCCGACGTTGAAACTGGCCACTGGAGGGACGACTATGCCTTTTATCTGCTTCAGAGCGTAAAGGGCGATGTGGAGTTAACTATAAGAAGGGAGTAAGAAATAAGAATTGAGAAAGCAAAGTCGGTAGTGATATTTTTTGTATAATCTACACAAACATTCTGAAAGACTATAATATAGATAAATATACGAAAATAACTGACCTCAAAATAAAAATCTCAGACGGAGTGTGAACAGATTTTGAATTTTATGTACTCCTCCTTCTAACTTAGTGGCAGATACTAACTTACAGTGGCAGGGTGCCACCTACATTGTAAAACAAAATTAGTGTGAAGTTCCTGTTCCTTTCTAACTTTAAATTCCATAAAATAAAAAGAATTTATAATTTATGGAATTTAAAGATGTATAATACAGGTTACATACAAAGTGCCCATTAAAAATCCTTATGGCCTCTATTTTTGCAACTGTTGGTCATAGACACTTCAAAATATAAATATGTTTTAAATGAAGCAAATACAGATGGAGGACAAAATAATATGAACACCTATGAAATAATGGAAAATCCTTGTTAATAGGGGGTTGCATCCCCCTTTGACTGAAGTGCAGATTGAATGCGATGTGGGATAGAGGCATAAAGGTCATGAACAATATTTTAAAGGAATATTAAGCCATTCTTCCTGCAGAGCGATCTCTAATTCCAAAAGTCCGGATGGAGGTGGAAATCAGGAATGAAGTTTAGACACCAAATATGCCCATAAATGTTCAATAATATTCAAGTCCGGAGCCAAAGGGGGCCCAGCGAGATGTTCAATTGCATCATCATGCTCTTCGAATCATTCTTGAATATAACCCTTTTTTAATATTCAGGTACAAATAATCTTTTGCTATAGGCCTTGGGGATATATAGAATTGTTTCATAAATCTTATAACGTTGATTTTTAAAATTCCATTATGTAAGTACAGATGGAGGACAAATAATGCAAACCCTTGAAAAAGTATGACGTATTTCACCTGCAGTCAGCCGCGCCACCTGCAACAGAAGTCTGCCACCTAGTGAGCGTGAAGAGGAAGGTATCAGTCTGTCAACCTCGTGACAGTTGCATGCCAATGGAATGTGTGTGCGAAGTTGAAATGTCCGACCTTCAGAGTTCCAAAGAGGAACGATAATGAAGCGTGTTAAGTGGGCATCGGTTACAAAACAACCAACTTGTGGGGTGTTCAAGGAGTATGGTATCAGCCGTTATGACAGCATACCAAGCGAGTGAGACGACATCTCAAAGCACAACAGTGGCCGAAAGTCAAGTTGCCTGATAGGGATAGATGGCTCTTGAAGGCATAGTATCCCAAAGCACAAGCAATCGTATCCAAGAACATCCGAATGAACAGTATCTCCAGGACCCTATTCAACAAAACTGTCAAAAGGGAACTTCATGCTGCGAACATTATCAGAGGTAATTTCGCTCTGCAGAAGAATGGCTTAATATTCCTTTAAATATTGACAGCAACTAAGTTTTTCAAACGACGCCAGTGGTGCAGAGATCACAATGGCTGGCCTCCAACAGCAGTGGCAACAGGTAAAATGGTCAAATGAACGTCAACCCTATTCAGATGACAGGCGATTATGTTGGAGAGCCAAAGAAGCATTTCATCCTGACTGCCTCTTGCCGACTGTGAAGCATGGGGTGCAATATCTTGGCGCGGTCTTGGGCCACTTGTTATTCTGCATGGGAGGATCACATCTAATCACTATCTAGCATTCTAGGCTTAAGAGTCATCCTTTTCTCCCAGACTGATTCCCTGGGAGCTACGCTTTCACGATGACAACGCTCCTATCCACACTGCTAGGTGTATTCAAGAATGATTCGAAGAACATGACTATGCAATTGAACATCTTGCTTGGCCCCTCAGTCTCTGGAATTAAATATTATTGAACATTTATGGAGTCCAAACTTCGTTTCCGATTTCCACCTCCATCCGGACTTTTGGAATTAGAGACCGCTCTGCAGGAAGAATGGTTTAATATTCCTTTAAATATTATGGCCTTTATGCCTCTATCCCACATCACATTCAATCTGCACTTCAGTCAAAGGGTAACGCAACCCCCTATTAACAAGGATTTTCCATTATTTCACAGGTGTTCGTATTATTTATTATCACTGTATGATGAAATTTTATTGAATCATTTAATTTCAAAATTTACCATTTTTTTTAAAGGTTTTCCCTGAATGCCAAAAGGCTATCTAGATAAGAGTCAAAATGACCTTTCTGGCTAGCTTTTCTGAAACCTGAATGACTCTTACTTCACATCAAGTTTTTTTAACACAATATGTATGTTTTTTACATATTTTTCAGATATGACAGACTCTAAAATCAGAAAAAATGTAAAAATCTTAAGTTTTTGGAATACAGTACAAAGTCTGTAATCTGGACGTCCATAATCTGGAATGATCTATAATCCGGACCTCAAAGCTAAACTTTATGCGCATGCGTAAACACATAATGCATTTACGCATGCGCATTTAATGTATGACAGATGGTATAAGCTAGGCTAAAATTATCTAAGGCATTTCAGTTAATGTTGCAGATTGCGCTGTTCCTTAATCTTCTAATTGGATCCGGCTTATTATTTCTTGCAGACTGCTAAAACAATTTTATAAATGTAAGCTTTAACTTTCGATTATGTCAAATAGAATTTCCGATGCTGGAGCTTCTAAAGGATCTACAAAGCGAAAGTATGTTTCGATGTCCATCAAACAGAAAGTGGAATTGCTGAAAAAAATGGATAAAGGCCTATCTGTCTCAAAATTATGCGAGAAGTATGGCATTGGAAAGTCCACTATATATGACACAAGAAAAAGGAACTTTTTGAATTTTTTGTGAAGCATCTTAAAAAACTTTACATTGAAAGAAATGTTTAATAAGTAAACAAATAAATATTAAGCTTTTTTTTGTAAATTTTGATACCCTTTAGATCATAATTGTTCTTTATTTCATAAATTATGATTTCATATTTTTAATTGTATCATTTCTGCATGCCATCTTACCAGATTTAAATTGATGATCTATAATCCGGAAAAACCCCTAATCCGGAATCGCCGAAGTCCCGACGAGTCTGGATTACGGACTTTGTACTGTATAATGCATTTCAAAAATACAAACAAATCTTAAATTTTTAGAATAAAAGTGACAAATATATATGTTTTCTAAAATAAATGTGGCTAAAAAATTATACATTTTGAAGATTAATTTCTAATTCATATGAGTATTCTCCGTTAGACATATCTTTATTATTGAATATGTAATTTTCAATATTAATTTTCTTGATTGCATTGTCAGAAAGTTTTCCAAGACCTTTTTATGAAAATGCTTTTTTTTCTCCATCATCTATTTTTTTTTTTTTTTTTTCCAATACATAAATCTCTATATTCAGTTTCAGTTTTCTCAATGAGATTAGATACTATCTCCCAGGTTCAAAATCTTTCAATTTTACAGTTTTAGGATAATAATTGAGACTAATGAATTCTTCCATTTATTGGTAAACATTCCTTTTTTTAAAGGCTTTTATAAAATATTGGGTTGTAATGAAAGTTTCTTGCTAATGTAAATATCGTCTGCATAAATAGTTCACATTGGTGTGTTTAATCATATTTTGTAAAACAATTTTTGGCATCTGATAGAAAGAGACTTGTTTTAGAACACAGTTGAGAAATTTGTATAAAAATATCATTATCATCAAGTACAAGGTGTCCGAAATGGAACTATTATGGTACCAGATTAGAACCATCATTTGCTTCCAGTTCTGTTGCAAAAAGTCAGCTACAGAAAGTCACCAAATCATGTATACAGCTTTTAGGTACTAATGTTGTATCATATGACACTGTGAAGGTTTGGTACCGAAAGTTCAAAAACAAGGACTATGACATTCAGAAAGCAGAAGGCTATGGCTGGCCTATTGATGTAGACGAGGCCCGTCAGCGAGAACTTGTGGAAGATGATCAGTATGCAACCACTCGAGAGCTTGCTAAGGAGTTAGACTTTAATGCTATGTCCATTAGTCGCACTATGCATTGCACAAATTTGATATACAAGTTCAATCGCTGGAAGCCCCATGAGCAGACTCAAGCAGATAAGGACTGCACTAATCTGCTCAAATATCAATGCAAGGACAAAATCCTCGACCAGATTGTCACCTGTGATGAAAAGTGGATCTACTTCAACAACACAGGCTGAAAAGGGAATTTATTTGCACCTGGTAAACCTATTGGTAGTGTCGCAAAGTGCAATTTGATTAACAAAAAGATCGTGTTTTGTATATTGTGGGATTGTCATGATATATTTATTATAAACAAAGAGTAACTTGAAAAAAATAAAAATTTCAACAGTAAGGTGCACAGCTAAATGCTAGTCAGTGTTGACACCGCTATTAAGAAAAAACGTCAAAGTGAGTTCTGGCATAAAAAGGTAATGTTCCATCAAGACAATGCAAGACCACATGTCTCTACATTCACCAGCTAGACTGTACGGACTCGAATGGGATCTTTCGCCACAACCACCAGATAGCCCCAACATTCCTTCGGACTTTTACCCTTTTTCACATCTGCAGCTAGAACTTGCTGGTGCTATCTTCCATTTTGCACAGGATATCCGAAATGAGGATGATCTGTTTTTAGACTTGCAGCCACCAAGTTTTTGGGCCGAAGGCTTTGAAAAACTATCAAAACGTTGGCAGAAAATCATAGATTTGAGTGGTGATTACCACCCACATACTAAAAATGCTGCTTTCATGTTTTTTTCCCAACTTTATTAAGAACTTTTTTTTTTTGAAAACTTTCATTATAACCAGATAATAATTTCACAAGCAATATAAATTCTTTTGAATAGCATATAAAATTTCAAACTCTTTCAGTTTAATAGCCTCATTTTCTTCCTTTCAGTTAATTCAATTATTGCTAGAAATTTTTCTGATAATTCTTTTTCAGATGTTTTAGAGAGTGAAGACAACACTTCTGAAATATATTTTTCATAGAAATCATTGCAAGGAGTAATTTTTTTACAGTTTGTAAAATTTAAAGCTCTAATATCATTTAATGATTCTTCCATTTATTTAGAGTTATTTTTTAGAAATCCAAAGGGATATCCCAAAGATATAGTTTTTCATAAAACTTTTCTTAGAGTTTCTTCTAATCTCTGATTTTAAAAAATATAAAACTTGAAATTTTTCCATAAATTCATCGGTTAGATCTTGATATCTATAAGTGCATTTCCAATCAGCTTTATCTTGATATTTTTCACTACATTTTTCTTTTCATTCATGATATCTAGAAACACATCTCCAATCAAACTTACCTAGAAAATTTTCAATAAATTCTTCAGTTAATTTCTGATATTTATCTGCCACTCATTTAGAACTATTTTTTAAAAACATTTTGATAATGACATAACGCTCTTGTATGAATTTCATATTTTAATGTAACAATTACATGTTTCTTAATTCCTTTAGAATTTAAAAATTATTTTGTCTTGAGTTTTATTAGCATACAATTCAATAAATATTTTATCACTGTTTTCATTTCACCTGATACTTTTATTTATATATATTTTCTTTATGTATCAAAATAATCAATCATAACTTTCATATCTTCATAAGTTTTAACATGATATATAAAACTTTTTGTAGCCATATAAAGTAATGAAATGTCTTTATATTTTTAGGTTTCATAACATTATAATGAAAGTAAATGCTTTGACAAATCTAAAATACACATTCCTAAATAAATCGGTTTATTTACTTCTGTTTTATTCATACAAGCAGCTGTTAGATTTTCACTAAATATTGTTCTACCTTTAAAATTTGGTTTAGCAATTAATTTTTTAACTTTATCATAACATAGAAGTACATAATTTTGTATCCATATTTTTTCTAACATTTTCAATAGATTTTCCATGTGATGCATTATTCATTAACTTATAAAATTCTTTTTCAAAATTATATGGACCTTTTTTCCTCATCTCAGTATTCAAATTTATATATTTTTTTAACCAAACTGATTGTTGGCACTATTGGGTTGTTCGGAAAGCAATTACGTTTTTTCCCAAAAGAGGGCTTAATTGTATTTTTTTCACAGCCAACATAACGCTTAAATCGCATAATAATTATATATTTTGACATCTGATATAGCAAGGCTTGTTTGTGAAAAAGTTCGATTGATTCTGCCCAGTAGTTTTTGGTTAATGTTCTTTCAAATATGGAAAGTAAAAAGCAGAATTTTTGGCATAGTTTATTTTTCTACTATTGAAAAGGTAAAAATGCTGTTCAGGCAAGAAAAAAAAATTATCCAATGTGTATGCATGTATACAATTAAGGAATCTGTTGGGGAAAAAACAAAATTACTTTCCAAACAACCCATATGTACTAATTCAGAAGTCAAACAACAAAAATCAGCGTTATATTCACAAAATTTTCACAGGACTAGTTTCAATGGTTTTACCGAACCATCATCTTCAGCTGCAGGTTTGCGGTTTTGCAGCTGAAGATGATGGTTCGGTAAAACCATCGAAACTAGTCCTGTGAAAATTTTGTGAATATAACGCTGATTTTTGTTGTTTGACTTCTGAATTAGTATTTATTCGGCGTGTTATTGTGTCTTAACCCATATGTACTTTTTAAAATTTTAATTCCATATCTAAATACTACGTTAAACTTTTACAATGGATTATATAATTTGTTTTATCATATAAAGTTGTTAACTTTTCTTGTTTAGAAACATCAGGAATTTTCTTTTCTGGTGCTAAAGGTAAATGTAAATGATAATCATGTATTAGTTTTGGATATTCTAAACCGACATCTAGCATATAATTTTCTGGATTTTTATTCATATTTTCTAATATACACTGGTCTTCTACCCATTTAAATGAAGTGTAAGGTAAATGTTAACTTAGAGCCCAATTATACAAATTATTAGCATCTAAATACATTAAATGGTTAGATTCTTTATTATCACCATAATCATTCATATGTTTATTATTTGCCTTTGCATATCTATTTACAACAACGTGATACTCTACCACTTGTTCCCTTTTCTATCATTAAAACCATATTAACATCAAATACCAAGCAGGATCTAATTTACATGTTTTCAAAGAAACCTCTCTAAATTTTTCAAAAATAAGCATTATTGAAAGCATTTTTGTAAAAGGAATATATGTCTACGACCAATGACTCCCTCTCCCCCCCAAAAGGGGGCTACATAGGAATTTTATTTTTATGGGCATACAGTAAGTAACTTGAATCTGAGTAATTCACAATAAAATTCCTGCAGAACATTTTTCAGCAGCTGAAGGCTATTGTTGCAGAATACCCTAATTACAGCAAGTGACAGAAAATTGACTATGAGCACTGCTAGGCTACAGAGCACTAGATGAAATGGATGCACCATGCAATATTAAATTTTATACAGTATATATAAATTATTTCTTACTTGTTCACTTAATTCAATCACAGGGCCATCAGGCTTCAAATTGACTGGAGAAACATCATACCACTGTGACTGAGAATGAGCTTCATTATTTTGTGATGCATAAGATGCACCGGAGCTCCTGCGCAGAGTGACTGTCGATCCCTCCCGACTCTTCCTTCCAGAGCTTTTGGAATTGGAATTCAAGTTGGGTTTGATAAAGATGGAGGTGCCACGAATGCTTGGGGAAATTTTTGATGACTGCGTAGACGAAATGCTTATACAGTGAAAAAGGAAAGATAAATAAATTTTTTCACCATTACAACACATTTTCATCATTTTTATAAATATAAATGCTTAATTTAAATATAAATGCTTTTATTTATTTTTATTTCAAAATTTTTTAGCTCCTAGCTTAGGCATTACTGCCCACCAGAGGATGCTGAGGAGACCTAGGGTGCATTACCTGTTCGAGGAGCAGTAAGGAGGAGGAGTTATTTGTTCGAGGAGTTAGTTGTGTATTGAAAAGCAAGTGGGCAAAAGAATATGCTTGACATATTTGGTAGCTTAAACACTTCTGAGAAAACATTTAAATATCATTTGATTGTACAAAAATAAATAACACCCATCTTTACAAGAAACACACTAAATCATATCAGTTGAATCTTTACACAAGTTGTTCCAAACTGCATGTAAGGTCATTTTACAGATGTAATATTTTCTATTATAATTTGAAATTATAGATTATCAATAAACATTTTAAAAACATGACCATAAGTGTGATATCAAGCACATACAAGTAGCATGTTCGTTCAACGCATATCTTTGCACCTGTAATAGGAATCCATATATAATTTGTCATGTTTAAAAATATTTTAGCAAGTAATTATTTGTTAACATTCTGATTCATTATTTCATCATGAATTTTAATTAACAATTTAGTGACACACAAAAATAATTAATCCTTACTATTTTTAAGCATTTTCAATTAGCATCCACAAATCACATTTAGAAAAAATATCTAATATATCATTATTGCAAGGGCAGAGGGTGCTGAACAAATTTGTAAAGGGTTGTATTTATCTTACATAGGTCTGCCATCTGCTGATATTATATCTTTTGCACTTCGTATAGGACTTTTCTACCAAGTTTCTATAAATATCTGTAGGCATTTTATGTCACTTCTCCTAAAGCATGGTTTATGTTTCAAAAGTTGTTTAGCCATTCTTGACGATATAGTGTAATAAGAGTATTAGCTAAAACTTAAGACAAAATTTTTTCTTTTAAACCTCACTGCATAGTGTGAGATATTAATACCGAGACATTAATACATGCTTAACAGGGTGATCCAGTTAAGCATGTATTAATGTCTCGGAGGGAGTTGCAAATAAGTTGAAAAAAAAAAAATTGAAATCATATAGCACTGGAAGACTGGAAACATCATTTTCATAAATTAGTATGCAGAGAGTAATACAGATTTTTGAAGTCATGAGTGCAAGGTCCATTGTTACCGACATCTGGCAGGTCATTAAAAAAGAACAAACATTGAATAACCTTCTAATATAGTTGTGCTTCTGATATTTTGTGATTTGGCATTTGCTTCATTGGGTAATTTTCCTGGGAGAGAGTAGCATCAGGGGCTTGATTGTTGCTCTATACATTAAGTGCATGTAAGTCATTTCTCTTTTTGTAAATTTTGACTATGTATCAGATGTATGTATAGATTATATCAGCAGCCTTAGGGCTGAATAATGCCATTTACCTCATGAATATGGCTTTGTGAACCCTACATTGCCATAGAATTCCGATTTGTCTTTGTGCAACTTGTTGTTACTCAGAGTTGCTTAGTTGAATGGCCCCATATAAATCAGTAGAATTTTACTATGTATTAGTCCCTTTTTCTTTTTAACTACTTTAGCTTTACTTCCATGCAGCATTTCCTGAATGTAGTACCATTTTGGTAATAAATAAAGCATAAAACATTAATTAAAAAAAGCTTTTTATTCTAAACTATTTTTTTAAGAACCCTATTTCTTTTACTTATATCTGGTGTCTATTTATAATTTCTACACTACTATTACAAATTATAAGTTTTTAAAATCACATAGTGTAAATATTAGGTGAAAATATATGTGAGTATATCGATACAAAAGAATTCCAATAGTCTGCACACCTTGCAACCATGAGATAAGAGGACAACAATTTTTTGGATTATACAGTATGTCTTTGTAAGCTCTGTTTATGCCATTCTAACTTTTACAATTAATTTATATTATTTGCTCATAAGTAGCTACCAAAACATTAAGAATTACTTGGTTAAGATTTACAGCATATAAAACTATATTTTTTAAATACAATTCTATACAAAGAAAATAATGGAAGTATATGATGAAAATGTAATGAGGAGAAAAAGGAATATAAAAGAAGAATACTTAGAAGAAATAAAGAACTCTTTTGTATGAATATATCAAACTATTTTATACAAAAAAGGTACTTATGTATTATTGCAACCACCTTTATGGTTTTTTACAGAAGAAAAAGGTGATTCGGTGAATTTTTGAATAGGAACTTACAATGGATATGGTTACCTGAAAAACTGTTATGCACATGGCTGCCAGAGTTTGGCAACTTCTGAAAATTTGGCGATTTCTACTATGGTGGTTATTATGTAAGTACCAAAAAATTGGCCTATTTTAAGCATTTTCAATTTTCAATAAAATTGTTTTAGAGTAACTTTTATGCTTGTAAACAATTTTTTTAAATTTACTTATTAAAATTTACTCCTTAACTATGTTTGCAGACTTAGTACATGAAATACTTTTTCATTTGATAATGCATCTAATAGCACTAAGAAAAAATCATTTTGCAATTTTAGTTTTATAATCTGGTTTTACCAAAGTTCTGACCACACAAGATTATCAGAATTTTGTTGTATTCGAAGTTTTGCTGAACTAACAAATACTATTCAGAATTATTAAAGACTAACACTAGATCTTAGCCTGATATAGAATGTACAGAGTGAGTCCGATATATTGCTATAAGCTTGAAGTAAATGCAGTGTTATTAAATACCGCAGAGGAAAATGATAAAAAGTGTATTAAATTAAAATATTTCCTTTTCAAATAAGAGTCACATGCAGCAGTAATTCAGAGTTACAGTGTGAAAACTGTAGTCCAAAATGGTCATGTGGGAGTAGAGTGAAGCAACCATATACACATATTTCTGACTTGCACTCTATCTATATATATGTACATATATAGAAGACAGTAATTTAGTAGAAGAGAATTCAATTTACGTACGTCTTCGTTTATGATAAAAACTAGACTTTGTCTAAACAAATTTTGCTTATATTCATAAAATCATGCAAAAAATATTCTTTAAAAATCAGCTGAATTCTTAAATTATTAAAAATTTAATTTTTCGATTGTTCTAAAAAGTGTTGGGAGGCTAATTTGGAACAGAAACACACCAGCATAAAATTTAAAATAAGATTCCCCCCCCAAAAAAAATTAGTTTGAAATAGACTGTTTGCCTGACTTTGAATGTTCAAAGATTATCAATAATAACATTTCAGTACTAGAAAATAAAGTTATACAGACAGCCCATCTAACAAAAAGAAGAAAAGAAAAAAAAGAAGGGAAACTCAGAGAATCATCTTCTCTTTCCTCAAGGGAGGAGGGGAAAAAATGAAGGGGACTTCATCAATAGTGAACTTTATATTCTATAAGTAGCATCAAAATAATGATACAAGAATAATAAACAATGAATATGCAACTCACAAAATTGCCACAAAACAATTAGAAATGATTAATAAATGATATTTACATTGCTTCTGTTAATTTTTTTGGAACTAAAATTAATTTAAATTTCTTCCGACTTCATTCATCAAATTTTATGCACCTATATAATCCATGATAGTTTTGTTTTTCTGAAGAAAAATCTCTGAAAAGTACTTAAAAATTATTAAAAATGGAAACATACCTAATATTTGACTGGACATTTTTTCTTGGCCTGTAAGAAATGAATCATAATAACTGATAAATAATCCAGAAAAACGGGGGTTAATTAAAAAAAAAATTCACATTTAAAAACATGATTCATGATATACAGGTTGCAGTAACAGAACCGATGTGAATATAATTTGGAAAATTACAGGTAATATTTCCCTTAATACATGTTTTTTAGTAGTTATCAATAAGGCTTCAAATATTGCAAGTAACAAACAGATTGGATGATTATGAATAGTCTGAGGTGTGGGGAAGGAACGTGAAAACCTACACCATCTGCACCAGGATAACCAACAATAACACTATAAGCAAGTTGAAGTTGCCAGTAAAGACAATTCAGAGAATTAAGAAGCAGTCGGCAGATTTAGACATTCAAAGAATTATGGAGATGTGAAGGCTTGGGATGCCAGAAAGACACAAGATCAAGTTGAACACTGGGTGATGGGTAAAATTTCATTTCAAATGCATAACAGCTTTGAATAAAGTATGAGAAAGAAGCAGAATATGCAATAAAATATTCTTTTGATGAACACAGTCAAGCCCCACATGAAAGAAGTTGCTGCACAAAAACCATATGAACTCTAGCTGCGCATATGGACCAAGATAATTCAAAAGTGGCCAGAGGATAACTTTTGACCATGCTATTCCTGATACATAGGCTAAAAATTCAACTGAGTGCAGTCCTCTTGACTGTTATGAATGAGGTGCAGTTGGAAGGATTACTACTTAAAACAATAAAGGTGAGTTAAGGAAAAAGAACCTGCCAGGCATTTCAAGATCTATTTTCTAGAGAATGTGATTGATGCTGAAGATAATTCCATGGAATAAGTTCCAGCTATAAAGTGTGACTCTGCTCTTGTTTCCAGAATTTTTAATTAATGCTTAACTTAATCTTTTAGAGATTTTTTCCCCTTAATGTTATCTTCCACACGATTCTGCTCATGCATCCTTTATAAGAAAATTACCTGATAATCAAATAAACTCAACTTACGATTCTAAGGTGAAGTTTGATAAATCAGATGATCTTTCATCCTTAGAGCTTGATTTTGAGGAAACAGTTTTTATCCGTCTGACAGTTACAGGTATTCGATCTTGTAACTCAGGAGGAGGATCCTGTTAATGAAATTATTACAAAACAACAGTAGAATATATGTAATTTTAAGTTTATTTTATGAATAATAATAAAAAAATAATATTTGTATATTAGCCAGCATTTGCCAATAAATCACCAAATATGCTACATGATGCTGGTTCCTATGAGCATTTACCAATTCCAGAAGCTGTTTCGAATTCTTTTTGAAAAATACAATTTTTACTCCAAAACGGGTTATTAATCTTGAAATGGGATTTTATGTCAGTTCACTATAAACAGTGTATCACCAAATATTATCATCCTATATTATTTTTTAAGGAAATTAAATAATGATGAATCTGCATGTATGTATATATGTTATTTGCACTGTGAAAATACGACAGTGCCTAGAGCTATCAAATTTTGAATAATGTAATCCTCCACCCAAACATGTGCACCTGGAAGCCTAAATTTTGAATTTGTTTTATTACTTTTTATTTCATATTTTGTAAAATTTAAAAGAATTTTTGATAAACAAACTCAATGATTTGAAAGCAAGCAGTGGCAATATGGTTTGCAACAAAACATTTTAATCTCCAGAATGTCATCTGGAAAAATCACCATCTCCTATTGTCTGCTTTGATAGTTAAGTTTCCCTGACTTGGGTTTTAGACGAATCCAGAGAAATCATTCAGATGAGTACTGAATGATTTGGAGATGAAACATGATTCTGTGACATACATGTTTAGTGTTTTTCATATGATGAACTTTCTCACAGAATGAAGCACTATCAAATTTCATCAAAACTGCTTTAAAACAGACCACAAATTTTATTATAAGATGTAATAGAATACAATTTAATTTTTCAGAATTAAAAGTTAGTTAAAACAAAGTAATCTAGATTATTTTAATTTGTTTTACTTTCATGTTAACTGCATATGCTTTTGAATAAGAAATATTTTATGAACTCTCTAACCAATACAGCAATGAAAAAAACACATCTTTGGTAAAATACTTCTTAAAACATCCAAGCTTAAAAACTGAATGGGACAAAGATAAAATCATAACAAACCAAGGGAAACAAAAGCAGTCTTAAAACTAGAAAAGCTTTAGAAATTGCTACAAGACCATGCTACAGTACAGAACTTCTTTTCAATCTGCTACACATCTGAACAATGATCTACAAAAAACATAGCATCCCTATTTGAAATAATTCTGTCCGAAACAGTTTATGAAGCAGACAGATTGCTTGTAAATGCCCTTACCTTCATAACATTTAAACATGGTTTTAGTGCTTTAACCTATGTCAACTTCCTTTTTTACATAAAATTTCAGAGATTTTATACTGCACAGAGCTGTGAAGAAGGTACATGTGATAGCTTGCTTTTCACAGCTGAGAAAAAAGTAAAATTCACTCTATTATTGCCAAAACACTAAACAATGAGTATGCTCAAAGGTTAAAAGAATTAACAAAAGACTGATGTCAAAAGTATTTTTTATTCAGGAGGACCAAGCTTCATAACAGAAGAGCAGGCATTTTGAGATTAAAGAAATTTCGAGAGCCATAACTCGATTTTTCAAAAGTCACAATTCTTTACTTGCATCATTTTAAAAGTAGGGAAATGGGTTTTTAACTGAAAGAAAGTGTGAAGGAAATTACTAAGAACATTACATTTTTTGTTAATTAATGTGGTTACATATAAATAAGTAATTAGTTATTCTGCTATATATCCGGTAAAAGGTTTCTACAATATACAAATCTGTAGCTACTGCATGAAGCAACAGAATGCTTTTTTTTTATACACTAGTACTTTTTTTCCTTCATCCCCATCAAACTTATAGCTGTTGGCTGGTTTTAGCAAAAGCAAACTGAAAAGGAAAGAAGATGGAATGATTTTTTGTAGTACAGCAACAATGTAAACAATTTTTCATTTTCGAGAAAAATAAAGCACTAATTTTGAAAATTGATCTAGTTTTTTTTTTTGGGGGGGGGGGGGGGGCTCAAGTACATTCCTTAGCAAAAAATGCAATAAATGACATAAGACAGCATGCGTTGCAGAGAAAGATTTGTTTGTTCATTTAAATATAGCAAAGCATATGAAAGCTATATGCTTACGGAAAAGATACCTTCACAAAGGCCTTTCTATGGGAAACTGGCTCTTAAATATGCTTCTAAAAGAAAAATTGTTTTAAAACAATCTGCTAACTCAATATTTTGCATTAAAATTATTTTCTTCCACATCCAATTAAAATGAGGACCAACATAATGAGATCAAATCTAAATAATTGATTTAATTCTTTAGATATCAACTGAATTATCAGTTATATTTTGTGTCTTCTATTGATGGAACATCTGAATATTCAGAACATGCAAATCTTAAAAAAGGTTTGATTTTCCAAAACTCTTAGCTTAGCATTTTTTTTAAAAAATTATTAGACTCTTTCAAATTCTAGACTAATAATTTGTTGAACACTAATTCAAATCTCTGAAAAGATTAGTTTTATTGATGATCAGTAAAAGTGGTGTTTACTAATATTGACTGTTGCAATTTCAGTAGCATTTGAATCATCTCATGACAGCCCTGAGTGCCACACCGTTTCAGTATGGCAGCTAACAAAATCTGCCAAATCATTCTAGCAATTGCTGCACTATCTGAGAGGAAAAAATCTGAAAGGTTTCCGATTTTAATAATCTCCCAAAAGAATTTGTTATGGTTTCTTACGTTCTCACCCAGCTCACAGTCTATTAATCTGCTATTGCACTCATTGCTGAAAACCCACTTCTTTTTGCCTTTACTATTAAGCACTGTTTTCTTCACACTCACACCATATACAATTCAATATCAAAATTGCATAAATTTTAAAAGCAGCATATGCTTAGCATTTCCAATGCAGTGTAGAAAGTTTTTTTTTATCTTTTATTACTAGCATTTTATGTGTTAACTTTAATCATAAAATATCACGCTCTTCACTTACACCGCATAAAATTAAATTCAACAGCAAAACCACAAAAACAGCATATCTTTAGAATTTCCGACGGACAGTTTCATGCGCCTAAGATAAAAATTTTTTATTTCGTACAGCATTGCCTCTGCTCGCTTTAAAACTGTTGAATTTGTCAATCAAAAATTCATTAAAGTTTTATAAATATGAACTGATAGTAAAACAAATTTGAAATTAAAAACTGGACTTCCAGGTACACATGTTTGGGTGGAGGACTAAGTTATTTAAAATTTGATGGCTCTAGGTACCATCGTTTTTTCATAGTGCAAGGAAACATATATACATCCATGCAGATTCTTCAATATTTAATTTCTTTAAAAATAATATAGGGCAATAATATATGGTGGCAACAATTTGAAAAGTGAAAAGCCTTTTATAGTGAACTGATGTAAAATTTGATTTTGAGACTATTAGTCCGTTTGAGCTAAAAACTCACTATACAGCAACTTTGATAATTCTGGACATCTGCATATTCTTAATACAAATGTACTTTTAAAAAATGCATTCTTATATTTGCTTTTCACTTAGTAAATTTTTTTCCCTCTCCTTCTTATTTGATAAATTTGAGAGAACTGATAGTCAAAAAAATTAAAAAGGTCTTTTCATGATTAGGATTAAAATTTTTAGGAGCTTCAGGATTCAGCCTAACTTCAGTTTTTTTTCCAATGCAAGTTAAAAGCTACACTGATTCAAAAAATTTGAGATACCTTATCAGTACATAATACCAATGCGTGCAAGTTCATTAAAAAAAATATTGTACAAGGCAGCAACACTCCACAGTGGGGGGATGCAATCAGAACGAAATTTACACCTTTACTCTTTTCAGACTTCGTCATGAAAACTCTGATTAAGATAATTAAATAATATGGCAAATGTGCATATCATAAATGCAAATAGTTGCAAAAATTTTGCAGAAAAAGCCCGAGAATTCGCTTAGGAAGGACATTTTGAAAGCTAAAGCTCATTAGTATGTGGAGAGATAAATCTGCTAATCAAATGTGAGTGAGAAAGTTTTATCTTGCCTACTTTAAAAGCTATGTATGAGTCTAGTAGACCTCAAATACTTCTCTAGAAAACTTGTCATTGTATGATTTATGTTTCAAAGTGCAAACATATTCTAAAATAAAACTACCATTCAGTGAAAGTGACATGCATTTAAGAGGTCAAAGAATATCATGAGCCACAGTTACTAGGCTCGACAAGTTTGACTATGTCTAGGCAGTTTGACTATGTCTATTCTATAGTGATCTCAACCTTGTTTTTTGAATTGGCAATTACCATCAGCATGTTTGACAGAAATAGCTTAACCTGATGACTAAATCTGCACATTTGGCAGCATACACATCTCCATTTATAGATTACTTTAATTTAGCTTATACACAAATTTTGAATTTTTGCAGGAAAATATTCTTGGGTATTATTCAGAAATATGTGATATATATCTTTCAGTGTTACAATGTTTGCTCTATAACGAGCATGATGTTTTGTTTTGACGTAGATGACAGCGTACATGTATGAAAGAATTAAATTCTGAAGCAGAAATATGTTATGTACCTGGATGGTGAAAGATATACTACTTTGCATTAATTACTATGAATGTAAAAAAGGAAGCTTTTGTATTTAAGGATAAACAAGGGATCTTTTGTATTTTGTATTTAAGTGTACAAATACAGAATCTGTTGAGTAGATAAATCAAGAGATTGACTAAGTGTATCGAAAAGCTATTTACTAAGAACTAAAATTAAAACAAATGTTATTAACTTTTCAATAAAATTGAAAGATATAAAAATAGAAGAAATATACGATAAACTATATTTTATTTTCTGTTGTCATTATGTAAGATTTTCTTTCTGCCTTTATTGGAACACATCTTTTTTAGCTAAACATATTTTTAAAAATGAGATAATTGATAATTTCCAGAAGGGGATCGAAATGTAAGCAAACACACAGAATACTGCACATTGATTGACAAAGAAAAATCGTTTGCAAGACTGCTATACAAAATGTTGTGCACAATGCTGATGGCTAGTTGCATGAATCGTCTGAAATTACGCTTTTCCAAATAAATGTTTTATGTTTGATGTGTTAAATAAATGCTTTGTTTTTCACTTCTCTTACTCTTTTTACCCATCAAAGTATGTAATAACTGTAGTCCAACAAATCTGAATACAGCCTTTAAATTTGATTAATAAAAGGCTGAGGAAATAAATTTGATTGCCTGAGAAAACCAAGTAAGCCAAGTGCTATAAAGAATGAAAAACAATACACGGTATATTTCTAAATATAAGCCAAGAAGTAAGATTTTGCTGTAAAAATGTACCTATTTATAAGCGAAATTTAAAATTGCCCCATAAATTTAGCTACATATACTGACTAAAGTGCAAATGATTTATTATCTAACTTACATTGATATATCTATCAGCAAACTGATGCTGAGTGCAAACTCACCTTGAATTTCCATTTGCAAAGGGGGAAAAAAATAAATAAAGTGAAAGAAATGAAGAATGAATGGGAACTTCTGATGTTTTTTCATGAGTAAAGTTCAATTCTTCCTTTATGCTATGTAGTGATTTTGCACTTGGATTTAAAAGAAATACATAGTTTTAAATGCTAAGCTGTCCCTTTTACTCAGCAATGCTATTGATAGAATTAAAGATGATATCACCTACAAAATGGGTGACAATGATAGATGGAGGATGATAACATTTTCCTAGAGTAATTTTATATAAAAACTGCATCAGAATCATCAAAATTTCTAAAGATTTCCAAGATAGGTACTAATATTAAGGAATTTGATTAATATAGATTGGAAGCAAATAAAATAGAAATAACTTACATAAGCTGACCCCTAAACATTGACAGTAAAAAATTCACTAACACTTCTCAACTTATATATATTAAAAAAAGAGTTATATTTACTTAAATGTTTTCAACATATTTTCTCCACAGTTACTTATGCAGCCAATTTATTGCCTAATTTTTGTGAAACACGCAAGAATTAGCAGACAATCCTGAAATTCCCCCCATAAACTTGTTCTTTATGAAAGGTGATTTTTAAAGTTACTGGAGCATAAAATAACATATGTCACTCAAAAATATAGCATTGGCTTTATACTTGCCATAGGGTTAAACCTAAATCGCACCACTTTTTGTTCTTTCTAAAAAAGTACACGTCTAAGGAAATTACATCATAAAAAGTTCTAATTTTTCTTTAATTAATTTGAAAGGTATGACTCACTTGTTTTCCGTATTTTTCTTCAATGCTAGAACGCAGCCTGTGAAATGCTTCCTCCATGTGCTGATGAAAAGGTTTCAGATTATCTGGAGCCTTTTCTCTATGTATAGCAATACCAGCTTCTAACAAAGGAACCTTCAAAACAGACAGAAATGACCATTTCATGTTTCATACTAACCTGAATAGAAAACTTGAGAAACCAAAATTTATTTCTAAAAGACTTAAACCCATATCAAAGGAAATTAAATGTGCAGCCGAGTCCATTTAAGAAGTTTTCCAAGGAATCCCAATATAAAAAAATTCTTAAGCCGAAAAATCTTTTTAAACAGAAACATTTTCTTAGCTTCAAAATTATAGTTATTGACACAAAAGCTTACTATAGTCTCTTACTTTAAAATAGGAAGTTCTAGGTTATTTTTCACCGGTGCTTTTGACTTGTAACCACAGGAATAACAGCACGAAGAAAAGGGTCAATTAGTCAAACCCTTCCCTGCATACTTCATTTCTTTTTGTAATATGTTTTGCTTCAACAAAAATCATGCAAATGAAGAACTGCACTCAAAAGGTGTGACTACATTCTTAAGTGACAGTGATGATGACACGAATTTATGATCAAGGGAAGGTGGGCTCTGAAGTGCCTATTTTAAAGTAGCTGACTATAGCAACATAATACACATATTTTTACTTTAAGATTCAAATAATTCATATTAAATTTGTCTTTAATTAAATTACTATTTTAAAGCTTAATTATCTTAATTTTAATTTCAATCAAATTACTTTACACAGATATATTTGATCTGGTAATGCAACTCTAGTCTAGTAACCCAAACACACATGAAGCATATTATCAATATGTCTGAGAATAATAAAAGAAAATACATTGAGAAATTTAAAATAACCATTTTATTTAAACAGAATTCAGAACCCAAAGGCACTTTCTTGTGCTACAACTTTTTCTACTCGTGGTGATGTAACTAAAATAGAACAGTCCAAATTAAATCAAACGTTGTACAGTAGTCTAGGACTACGCAATTAAATACTACTAGAAGTTGGCTCACCAACTCTATTAGACAGTCAGAATTAAAGCACTAGCAAAGAGAGAATGCAAAGCCGAATAATTACAATTATCAGAGCTGGCAGGTAACTGACAACACAGCACACACACAGGCTGTGTCTTAAAACCAAAAACGTCATTTTTAATACCTGCTACTCGTTTGTATGCTGGTGAGGAATACAGAAAGGAGAAGTTAAAGTAAAAACTGACACTTATAAATAACTGGTTAATTAACACAAGGTTCTCTACAACTTAATTAAAAGCAGTAAGTCCAATAGCTTAAAAACACCAAGGCTAATTAATATATCTTAATTTCTGTTATGGACAAAATATGTCATTTTCCCCATACTTTTCAATACTGAGAGAAATATGTAATTATTGAATTATATATTACACAGATGATCAAAATTATGAAAAGAAACACTTTTTCAAATTTCTCAAATGATATAAGGCAGAATTTAATGAAATTTGGTATGGATGCAAAGAAATAAAGCAGCAGTTTATACCATACAAAAATGAAAGTAACTACTGATGATCGTGAATAATAATCACAAGATTAAAAATTACCAAAACTGACTTTGCAAGATAATTCCGGGGGAGGGGGAACGGTTAATGTGGGTACAGTGATTTCTAACACACATGCAAGTCGTGTGATGTCTTCATACTAGTAAGACGATAAAGATAGTTGGTAAGTCCCTGTGGCAACTTCAATTATCACAGCTTCCACCAAACTAGTATTTAGTTCTCATATGGTTAGTGAATACGCATTCCAGATGGGTTCAATCTGGTTGCAGATCTATGAACAGAATACCTTCACTTTAACCCCTTACATGCAAAATACTAAACTCATAACTATACACACAGATATAAATACTATAAAGATGAAAAAAATTACAAATACGAAATTAAATATTGTTTGCTTTGGCTTTTCCTTGGTTTTAACACACACAACGCATCTTCTCCTACCTTTATTACCTTTTCTGTCAATCAGGGCTGTGGAATTTGAGTCATGGAGTCGGAATCGGGTAGATTTTTGGGTAAAAGGAGTCGCTAAAAAACATGTCGACTCTGACTCCAGTTTTTGTTGAACAGTTTGAATTTGAAATGAAATTAAAGCGAATTGAGAAAAACATTAATGACAAACTGAGTTAATATTTTTATTTATGGACTATATACATTAATAAATAGTTATTTTCTATTTTATTGGCATATTAGTAAATAAATATAAGGGAGCAGGATGGACGTGATATTTGCCATTATTGATTAAGCTGATTCATTTAGTTACTAATCTCATTGGTGAATTTAGGTAAAGCAGCAAGAACTCCCAAAATTGATGCCATTCTTAGGAAGCGAGCAGGAAAAGGAGCAACACAATGGAGAATACATATTTGATGATACAGTGGCTGTTAGGATTAATAACTTTTTCAGAAGATGCAGGGGCATAGCTAGAGGGGGGCATCTGTCCCCGGGTGCAGAATCCAAGGGGTGCCAAACTGATGTTACGACATTTTAGAATCAAATGCTTTCCATTCTTGGCAAACAGTAGGGCGCACGAAATCTTCAGTTGTCCCTGGGTGCTGAAAACCCTAGCTACGACTCTGAGAAGATGTAAATAACCCTAATATTTCTCTAAGAGAAAGACTGTGGAATGATCTTTCAGAACTGGAAACCCTTCGTTCAGCACCGTATATAGCCACAAAAAAACTACAAGCTGAAGAATTAACAGGAGACAAGAATGTTAGAAGATGTAGATAACCCTAATGTTTCACTAACAGAAAGACTGTGGATGATCTTGCAAAATTGGAAACTCTTCTTTCTATACTGTATATAGCCACCAAAAAGCTACAACCTGAAGAATTAACAAGAGGCAAGACTGGAAAAATGCGATGTTTGTTCTTTCTGAAATGGAGGGTTTATTGCAGAAGGAATCATTTATTCAATGAAGAAAAGAGAAACTAGTTTGCTAGATAATAAGATTGTGTTGGGTTCAATATATGTAGATCCAAATTGCCAAATTTTGTTGGATGACAAACAAATTAAAAAGGCACAGAAAGCCATCTACAAACATTCATTAAGAATAAAATTATTCTCAGAACAAGTGGAGTATTCAAATCAGGACAGTCAAATTGCAGATATTGCAACCGAGTCTCTATCATCCTCTTCCACTGATGAATTAGATTTTGAGAAATATTTGGATAATATTGAAAAGGCTAAGACAATGCGAATGAAAATAATAACCAAGAGCCTTTACAAATAAAAATGAAAAAATACAAACAAGATTTATACACGGCCTTTGAAGAAATAGATAAATATGATTGTTTAAGACACCTCTTTTAGAACTTATAAAAATCTATCCTGAAAATTTAAAGGAAGTAGCCCTAACAGTAACAGCTTTTCTTCTTGCTCAAGTCAGTGTGGAAAGACTCTTCATAGTTCTGAAATTTATCAAATCGGATCTATGGCCCTCTAACAAAAAAAAACTTGCCAAAGTTTTACTGTTTCTTAGAAATTACTAATGCCAGTTTTCCCATTTCATAATAAATGCTAATTAATATAAAAAATTTCCTATGCATCAATTTTTTTCTGTAGCATCTATTACTTCTTTTATATTAAAAAAATAAGCTGTACCTATGCGTATATGTTTACATATATATGAAGGAGTTGGAGTCGGTCATTTTCCCTACTGACTCCACAGCTCTGCTGTCAACGTAAATTTTCAGAAAATATCTTCCAGTAAGATGGAAGGGTGGAATGTTTGCTGATTTTGGACAACTTTTAAGTTTTAAGTACGGTTTTTAAGCCACGGCTGACAGAATGAAACTGAATATAACCCCAACACATGTCCTAAAACTTCTTCAAAAGACACCCAGAAACATTTCATCCTCAAATAATGTGTAATATCAGGTTTATATTAGAAAACTTTTTAGTGTCTGCCACGATGACCAGAAAGACCCCCACCCATTGGCGGGATATCCATTACTGATCACATAAATATATACATTAAATGTAAAGTAAATACACAATGCCTGGGTCATTATATATAATGATCATTCAAGGCATTATATATAATGACCTATTAAATCAAGTAAGAAAAACAAAAATGCTGTGCGAACGAGAAAGAAATGCGAACGAGTAATGCACATTATGTCTCGCGAAACCTGGTGGTCTTTCCCCTTCTGCAGTAAAGTTACTTTTTAATTAACCAAGAAAGCTTATGTTAAATTTCAAAATAAATAGAAAAAGGACAACTGATCTTGAGTTTTTCCATCACGGATGTTCAGCGAAATTACACCTGCCATAGTCAGCTGATGCACTTTCCTAACAAAAAAAGCAAATAACATAAATGAAAACAAGAAGCTGGATACACTTACCCACATTCTAATAATGGAAAAAAAGAGAGAGAGAGAAAGAAATTCCTAATGAAATAAACAAAAATGCCTGTGCACCTTTAATTCACAGGCACACTTATAAAGAGCCGTGATTCCCAGTTTGTTTATACCAATAAATCTATCAAAACCAGAAGCACAAAACAGCAACTAATGCCAGTACATGAAGGTCAAATGCCATATGAATCAACCCATGTGAAAACAGTTACCATTTAGCTCCATTTACTGGCTTTTAAAAATTCAAATAAATCGCTCCATTTTAAATTTATGTACACGTGACACTGGTAGGAGTAGAATCGTTGCGCAGCGTATACCGGACGCTGGGCTGGTAGGAGTTGAATCGTTGTGCGTATATGGGACACTGGTCCTGAAAGGGTTAAAGATATTTATCCACTAATTGAATAATCCTATGTAAAAGAATATATTTGCCTATAAATAAGAATTGAGAAGCTGATTGTGCCCCTGAAAAATCATACTTTAAGAGTTCTAAGATCATCTGTCTATATCCCTGAGATATCTGTCAAACATATGGAGTTGTGCAGCAATCTGATATGATGTCCACATAGATTATGACATCTTCAGCACCTTAGTGATCTGATGTTAAAAATGCAGTATTGTGTCTCACATTCTCTCAGAGTCTACGCAGAATCTAGGCTCGTCACTGAAGAAAACTTGTGTCCTTTGCAATTCAAATTCAGTCCATGGATGTGTTCTTGTCCCACATAAGATGCACTCTCTGGTATAAAAGAGTCAGACAGGCAAAAATAATGGTTCTGGCAAAGGACCCTTTCTCATGAAGTTTTATGAAAAAGCAACCCAAGAGTTCTAGTGTTTGTTGTGTTTCTATAACAGTCTCCTCTATCACTTGACTGAAAGTGATAATACAGTCAAAAGTTGCTAATCCAGACTCGTCGGGACTTCGGCGATTCCGGATTATAGATCATCAGTTTAAATCTGGTAAGATGGCATGCAGAAATTATAAAATTAAAAATATGAAACCGTTAATTTATGAAATAAAGAACCATTATGATCTAAAGGGTATCAAAATTTACAAAAAAAAAAAAAAAAAAAAAAAAAAACGCTTTAATATTATTTGTTTACTTTATTAAACATTTCTTCAATGTAAGTTGTTTAAGTTGCTTCGTTTTTATGTGATAATACATTCTCTTAATTCTAAACAGACATAATTTCTTGTTCAGTTACAAAGTTCCGCTGTTCAAGTCCTATAATTGCAGTGTCGAGACTAGTTTGTGAATTGAAATTTTTTCGTTTTCAATAACCTCTGTCACTTTCTTCACTATCGGAAGCGAATTATAATGAGGAGGAATTTGATTTAAATCATATCAAAGATGGAGTACATCGAGATGAAATACTACATTTAATAAGGAATTATAAGCCAAATAAAAACATCTGCCCTGAAGATAAGAATAGTGCTGACAGATCAACTTCCAATTCATTGCGCGGCGCTGCCGCGTTAAAGATAAACAAAGTTTAGATAAACAAAAGGATATGCCTTATTCATTTTTTGTAGCAATTCCATTTTTGTTTAATGAACTTCAAAACATACTTTCGCTTTTGTAGATGATTTACATATTAATAAATAATATCAGAAATTCTATTTGACATAATCGAAAATTCTAGCTACTTTTATAAAATTGCTCTAACGTGTGCAAAAAATAATAAGCCGGATCCAGTTCGAAGATTAAGGAACAATGCAATCTGCAACATAACTAAATGAAATAGATAATTAAATAATTTTAGCTTAGCTTTTACGTCGTTATACATTAAATGTGCACTCGTAAACGTATTTTGCGCACGCATACAGCTATTCTCAGCCAGTAAAGGCTTAGCGCGCCATGCGCAGAAAGTTTGAAGCTTTGAGGTCCAGATTATAGATCATTTTGGATTATGGGTGTCCGAATTAACGACTTTTGACTACCAATCTTCATTCAGCATCATGGCTTTTATGTTCTTGTCAGGCATTCTGGATATAGATGTGGCTCCCTGAAATTCTTTCAACTAACTCCAGATCACACTATACATCAAATTCAGCTCTCTTACAACTTGAACCTGAGACTGATCTCTCTCCAATCTACCAACTTTTCTCTACCTCATTCCATTTTGTAAACATTAGTTTAGATGTTGGTTATGTAAATGTTGGCTGGTGGCTACTCATTTTAAAGTAGTCCCTATGAATTTAAAAAAAGATTTTAACAAACACTATGATTATAACTGGTATGTACAAATGAAGTAAGAGTGGAACAAGTGATGTACCAGAAATACTGCATTATTTGAATAATTCGAGAAAATACACTTATTCTCTAAATTTTGAACATCAGGATGTTTAAGGACTCAGCTGCATTTTTTGTACTCTACTGTACTCATAACAAAATATTTTTAGTGTGAAAGGTTTACAAAGCTTTTTTACCCAAGTAATAAAAATGGAGCTTTTTATCAAATTAAAAAATGCATAAATTGCTGCATAATTAATTTCTACTGCTAAATACAGAGGACATCCACTATTAATAATATTACACACTATTAATAGATGAAAAATTACTCATTCAGACAGTTTATATTTTAAATCTGAGATATCTGGGGGCGGGGCATTAAGTTTGGGAACATAAATAAATACTCATCTAAGACGAAAAATTAGCAAACAATACCTGACACGCAATTAGATTTTTCAGTTTTTGTATTCCTTCAGCATCTTTCCGGGTATTATGTTTTGCAGCATAGTCTTCTGTAAAAAAGGCCTAAAAACGAAGAAACACAAAGGAGAATAACTGATTAAATTAGTTTCGTCTCTCTCAAGCACGAACAATTAATTTAACACACTTTGCACTTAAAACATAAAGTTGTCAATTTAGGTAAAGGTTGATGTTTATTTGGCCATATTTTGGCTTTGATGTGTTTTTGAACAATTAGACATTGTTACTATTTGGCCACTTAATGTGTTTGACGGGTTTTATTTTGCATATTGTGCTTTAGGTTTTCTAATTCATAATCAATCAACATTTGAAATACAAAAAAGGCTCAAATAAAACCACAGATGTGGGAAAAAAAAAAAAAAAAGGAGAGAGTCCTTACCAAGTTTTCTGCCACCAAATTAACAATATTAAACTACTTTTCGCTAACCTGGCAATGTTCTGGATGTGTTTTTGAAGCCCTATCAGTGATTTTTTTCAAAGCTTACGGAAATGTTTACTTCCCCATAGAAAAAGGGATAAATATTGGCTACATTTAAGCTGTGTATCAATTAGTTTAGAGTCTGAGACTATTTTCTAGAGTGTGATTACATTCAGTAATTACTACTTTAGACTCTGCTCAGTGAATTATTTATTGATTTCTAATGCTACCCACATATTAATGAGAATTTGCATTAAAGTCTGTTTTTTTCCTAGGTCTATTTACAACTGTTATTCACTTCAATCAATTTTCAATTTCTTCCTGTCACCTAGTGCAGTTATTTAAAGATATCTTTATAAACTATAAGGTATTCTCCTGTCTTCCTAGCGTGCCTTCGTGGTATAGTGGTTCTGCACGCTGGGACTGTATTCCAGAGGTCCGTGGTTCAATTCCTGGTGAAGGCATACGCTAATTTTTCATCTCTCCGGCTTTTCCAAATAACCTAATATCTCTTCAAAACTCATCGGATGTATAGGAATAACTTCACTTTTGGCCTCAAGACTTGGAATCTTTTAGACTATAATAACAGCTATACACAAAGTTTACTAACTTGTCTATTATCCTCTTATGTTAAATCACCAGTAGCTAACAGTCCTCACCATGGTCATTTATAGGCCACTTGTCATGACAGCTCCGACTAAGTCATGTGTTATCACTGTGTTTCATGTGTTTTTTCTAAAAAATGCTTAAAAATTTTGATTTACCAAGGAACAAGAAACTTTTAAGTCTTATGATTTATGTTCATTTGGAAAAATTCTTGAGGCAAGCAAACGCTTCTGATGCTATATGAAAAGCAATTGCAGAAACAGGACAGACACAAACTGCACGGGAGAAGTAAACATGTTTGCTATGCAAGTTCTTAACTTTTTCTTATTTAAAACTTTGTGCCATTTAAATACCAAAGTCCGTAAAAATAAAGGAAAAAACCTATCAAACTTATAAGAAATCTAAAATATAAAATAATTACTTTTTCATAGTTAATAATTCCACCCATTACAGCTGCATCCACGACACCATTCAGCAGCATGCTCAGAGGATTGATTGGAAGCATCGGATCCCTCTTGTGCTGCATAATTAAGCTACAGATTTTCTTGTTGGTGCTCTCCATGGTTTCAATGGCATTTTCGAGAGGACTAATTTCGATTGACTGGGAATTGGTGACAGGAAACCAGTGAAGAATACCAGGCAATGGGTATGAAATGACAAGATTCGTCCTTTCCAGCCACATTGTTGCAAATTCGTTGTCGGAATCTTTCTCGCCGCGCCGTAACGGGCGAGAATATGTGAACTTCTGCACCTCATTGACCTTGTAGTACTTTATTATCTGGTCGTGGACACTCTTATTTCGAAACCGCTCTCGCTCGTGCATGATGGGATCGACTTTATTAATCTGAAGGTACTGCTTGCTAGATTCTGTAATATCTTCACCAGGTGGAGCTAGTTTTGTCATTAGTTGGGCTGCTGGATACTGATTTAGAAGTCTACTACTAAAATCACTCAAGCGTTCATACTCTTTTCCTCGATACACAAAAACTTTGTTCTGTAGAAAAGTTGGGAAACCACGGCCATAATATGCCACGCGAAAATATTCGGGCTCGGGGCGAACCTGTTTCATGATATTGTCATAAAATATTGCCATTCTTTTGAGCAATACACTCAACTGAATATAATCAAACACTTCATTTTCGTACTGAATGGCTAATTCTTTGCATAATGTAAGACCAGGCTCCCACAGTTTTCCTTTATCAAAATAGTCCAGTATGTCATAATACAAACATTCTTTAAGATCTCTGTGAGTCTCGCAGTTAGGATATTTGTCATTCTTTAACAACTGCGATAACGGTTCTTCACCCCACCTCAACAATTTTGCATGCAGTTTGAGAGTGAAAGCAGCTTCTACGTAATTCTCACATTCCAGATGAAGATCACAGAGTTTGTAGAGGTATCGGATGTACATTTCTTGCCTGTTGATTTCATGATAAAATTCCTGAAAATGCCAATGCACTGAATTGAAATATTTAATATGACAAAACATTCACATTTATCAAAATTGAAAAAACACACATCAAAACTGAAGGAAAATTTCATAGCAATATTGTACAAAGTTAACTAACAAGTGGTAGTATGATTAAATTTCAAATTAAAAATTCAACAACAAATTTCAACTTTTTATGAAAAGTTTTGATAATTTAATTCTTAAACAAGAAATGAACTGAAATAGTGCGAAATATTTGCTGAATTTTCTAAAGAAAATACTATTATCTCAAACTATAATAACACAACTGACAATGGAATATTTCGTAAAATAATCTAGGTGAGTAATACTTTTTATTAGTCACTGAAAAGGATGTTAACTAGAACTCAAATGCCAATGTAAATTCTTTTAGTGCTTTAATCTATTAAATAATATTATAATCTGCATATTATTATTAATTTATATATTATCAAATATATAAATTAATAATAATATGCAGATTATAAAAATCCCATTGATTTAAAAATAACCTCAATCTATACTAACAAAAGTGTCCATGGGATATTTGATAAAATAATTTAGTCAAGTAATACTTTTATTCTAATAAAATCACTGAGAGAAATATTACATCATATCCAAATGACATAAGAGATGATTTAAAATTTTTACACATTTTCAGAAATTAACTTATCAATTAATAACATGCAGATTATAAAAATGATATTAATTTTAAAATATATACGGTGTATTTATTTGAATACTCTATAAACAAATTTTTGGAACTTTTAAGGAAAGAATCTAACAAAATTTGGAGAATACATGCAATTTCCCTTTAGAAAATCCCTTATGAAGAACACCTTCCCTTAAGCAGACAGCCCTCCTGTGCTTTGCCACATGTGAGTTTTTTTAAGGATTAATTGATTTTAAAGTTCAATTAAAGTTTTACACTAAATAATATTATTTATTCCCATTTTTGTTTTACAAGAGTATGAATTTCATTCAATTAATATGCAGTCTTTTTCTTTGACTAAAAAATAAAAATTAAATTTTCATTCAAATATTCAAAAGTTTTTCTTTTGGTTTCAAAATTACATATTACATACAAGATATTAGCCTTTTGAGCAATTACTTTCTAGTCAAGTTTTTTTTTGTTTCACCAATGAAGCCAAAATGATAAACCTGTACGTACTTTGCCGTTTTGCTGGAATTTTGCACTTTTATTGTTACCTACTACTATTCCGCAGGCCTTACATTATTCAGTGGTACTGGAAGTTATACAGGTTTCATGACTTAGCAAGATCGGGTTGCTTAGCAATGTAATTTGGTTTATGCCACTTATTATGCCTTGCAAATGAAATACTTCATTACTTTTAAAGTATTGTCATTACTAATGAGTGGAAAAGGAAAGGTTTGGTGTGACCTTTATAAATGGAGATTATATTTGTGAGTAAAATTAAAACTATTACTGTGGGGAGGAATCCATTTTAAAATTTTTGGGCTATTTGAGCTATGATAAGATTTAGACTGGCAAAAATGCTGTTTAAGAATGTAAAATGCTATGTTATATACAAATGCTGTATTATACAAATACAATTATTCATTAGTGTGTCACACTGTGGTAAATTGTTTGTGGTCTTTTCGAACACGTTCTATTCGTAGGGATCATAGTTTGCATGTTTAACAATGTGGTCATAAGCTAAAGACATAACTTTCCTGAAAACGTTATACAGTACAAAGTCCCAAATGCATACTCGTCGGGACTTCAGCGATTCCGGATTTGGTATTTTTCCAGATATTAGATTGTCAATTTAAATCTGGTAAGATGGCATGCATAAATCATTGCAATTAAGAAATATGAAATCGTAATTTATGAAATAAAGAGCAATTATGATCTAAAGGGTAATCAAAATTTACAAAAAAAAGCTTAAGATTTTTTGTTTACTTTATTAAACATTTCTTCCAATGTAAGTTGTTTAAATTGTTTCGTTTTTTGTGCTAATACTTTCTCTTTAATTTTATAAACAGAAATAATTTTTTGTTCAGTTACAAAGTTCAAGTTCTGTAATTGCTGTGTCGAGAATACCGACTAACTTGCAAATTGAAATTTTATCGCTTTCAATAACGTTCTCTGTTACTTTCTTCACTATCGGAAGCGTGCATGGGTAAATGCTTTACTGGCTTTAAGCGTATGTATGGCGGACGCGCGCATCAAATGTGCATGTGTAAGTTTGTGGTTTTGAGGTCCGGATTATAGATCATTCCAGATAATGGATGTCCGGATTACGGACTTTGTACTGTACTTTCTATATTTTGTTTAAATTGGTATTAAAGACTCGCCAACATCCAGTATACTAAGACATTCAGATATGCATTACATGAATGGGACAATTCAAATGGGGTAAACTAACAAACTCGTAAAGCACATCATTATTTAAAGTAACATTACCCTCTGTGTTGCAATGCAGCTTTTCAAGAGTTCAGGAATCTGTTTCCTTCTCACTTCCAAAAAGATATTTGGTTTGGTGAATATCTACTGTTGAAATTTTGTGATGATGTTGGGGAACAATAGGTGCTACATTTGGACTGAAATATGTGTATGGAAGCATGTTCAACTTGTTTCTTTATACGACAGCCATTGTTCTCCATATTGTCTGTGAAGTGTGGTCAAAATTTGGGAGTTTGAAACTCCTTCCCTACAATTATAAAAAATTTAATGATAGTTTTCTTTTCCAAAAACTGAAGTACATTTGCTTATGGAAACACGTCATTATATGGAAGTAACAAGATCAAGTTCCAATTTAACTGTAAAATGAGACAAACAGATTATCCAAGGTCACTTATTGTGTCACAGAAACCACATCATGAAAACTGCAACTGTTGGGCTACATTAGCCAAGCCTTGATACATAGTAATCTTTGTTCAATGCCTGGACACTTGCTCTGTTTATAATTGTTATTAGTGTAATCTGTCTGAAATTCAATTAAAAAATACATACTTGAGAGATTTGTTTGAAACGAAGAAACTAAGGTGAATTTCTGCACAAATACGATGTTTTGCTGCAAAATCTCTAAAGGAAACAAATACTTTTAATCTATTCTTAAAGCGATCATCAAATTTTCAGTAAAGTACAAAATTTCTACCAGTGCAGCAGAAACAAAAAATCCACTCACAAAGATTTAGTGACTGATTTTCAAAATTAGTACCTAATTAAAATGTAAAATATACACTGATGACTAATTCAGAAGTCAAACAACAAAAATCAGCGTTATATTTACAAAATTTGTCGCTTTCAATAACGTTCTCTGTTACTTTCTTCACTATCGGAAGCGTGCATGGGTAAACACTTTACTGGCTTTAAGCGTATTTTGTTGTTGTTTGACTTCTGAATTAGTATTTATTCGGCGTGTTATTGTGTCTTAAATACACTGATGAATCAAAAAACCATTCCCACATTTTTTCAATGAAATCGTCTGGATAATGCGGAGGGCACATGATTCAGTGGGAATGGTATTTAATTGCTGCTGGAGAAGGTAAGGAATCATTCTTGCACTTACTTTTGCAAGTGGCGGGAAAGGCTGCTGATCTAAGCGAATTTGATAGAGGGCAGATTGTAATGTGCCAAAGACTCGGAATGAGTATCTCTAAAGCTGCGCAACTAGTAGGTTGTTCACAATCTGCCACTGTTAGTATTTAAGCAAAGTGGATAAAAGATGTTGAAATCAGCAATAGACACCAAGGTATTAGATGTCCATGCATTTCCAAAGAAAAAGGACGTAGGAGACTGTCCTGCTTGGTACAGCAAAACTGATGTCAGACAGTACCTCAGACGACAGTCCAATAAACTGCAAGTGTTTTAGAACATATACTTCAGTGAACATTGTTAGATATGGGACTGCACAGCAGACATCCCACTCTTGTGCCTCTGTTGACCAAGCATCATTGTCAACTACACCTACAGTGGGCCCAGGGACATCGAGACTGGACTATTGATAAGTAAAAGACAGTTGCCTGGTCAGATGAATCATGATTTCTCATTTACCACATTGCTGGTCGTGTCAGGTTATGCTTTCTTTCCAGGTGAACAATTGCTCCCCCCTCTGTACAGCAGGTCATACACAGGCTGGTGGTGGCAGTATTACGTTTTGAGGGATATTCTCATAGGTGGCTCTTAGACCCTTAGTTGTGGCAGAACAGCCTGCAGGCTATCTGAATTTAATTGCCAATCAGATGCACCCTTACACGACGTCTGCCTTCCTGCCAATGCCCCATGTCACAAGGCTCAAATTGGAGGGGTTTGAAAGAAGGAGCATAAGGAAGAATTCAAATTAATGTTCTGGCCACCAAACTCGCTGGATTTTAACCTGATAGAGCACATTTGGGATGTCATGGAATGGCAACTCAAAAGCTAAAATACTACCCTGTTGAACTATCTTGACTTTGTGTGACCACTGCTTAAATATTTGATACCATCTACCAAGAACTTGCATATCAATGCCAAGATGAATTGCAGCTGTTTTACAGGCCAAAGGTTGCGCAACACATTTTTGAGTAGATGGACATAATGTTTTGGCTCTTCAGTGTTGTTGTTATATGTTGTACAAATATATGTTGCATGTACAAATGCAATAAATAATTCTTTGCAGTTATAAGACATTCTTTTCCCCTGAAAAAATTCATTAAACTGTCCTAAAGGGATTGTGCTAGTATGCAAGTAGAAAAAAAATGATATATTTAACAATTAAGAATTCATTATTTAAGTCTTTGAATGAAAAGCATATTAGACTAGCTTCTGAAGTACTATGTTAACAAGCATTTATCACTTGCATTTAGAAACACACTATGAAACCTTTCATGGCCATTACTTCTAAAATAACCAATATTTCTAAGAACATAAAATAAACATTAGCACACCCTTTTTAAGTTGACCATTGAACAGCAAAATCATCAGGATGTGAATCATCAAGAGCTGTGGGTAGTCTTAAGCAGATTTCCCTGTACCATTAAAATTACAAAACTTATTTATATGCTTAACTGTTTGAAGCCTCTATTGTTAGCATTATACAGTAAAGTAAAAACTTTAAAAAATATAGAAACGGACAAACAGTTTCATTCAATAATAATTAAAAAAATAAACATTACTCACATTACACATCAAAACTACATTTAAAATCTGAAACAACGTGCAACTGCAACTAAAAGGACAATTTTTCGCTTAAAGGATTAAAATTAATTATTACCACATGCTTGTTTATTTAAACGTAATGTATAAATGACCATTATACGACTACACACACACACACATGCACCAAAATACAAACAAATAAACTGCATTATTTGGTGCTGAAATGAAAGAAACATAGTCATGCCATTAGGTTATTTTTCAATAGATTTCTATAATGATTATGGCAGTAAATTTATTGAGGTGCTAATTTAAACAACTATTTTTGCGAATCTTATACTTTCCAAAATTTAGTGAATATCGGGTTTATCAGCAAATGTTTATTAAATTTATGAAGTTATAATTGTTAGAGCTTAAAATTTACTCAAAAATATATTATAAAAAATCATATTCCAGAGTATAAACCAGAAGACTGAACTATTGAATCCCTGAAATTCTGGCATACACGAAAAGAACAGTTACTTCCCAAAGTTGCTTTCTGCTGCCTGCTAATGTTGACAAAAAATTTTGGCTCCCTGCATTTTTAACAAGCTACTTTATAAAAGAAATCAGAATACATTATATAAAAATACTGTCCAATTAAATGGTAATCCTGACCTAAATTAATGATGTTGAATAAATTTTCAGAACTTCAATGAATGTACATATGTAAATTTCAATAAAAAATATATAATACAGTTTTTATTTAAATACATAAATTTAAACATATTATTTGTGTTATGGTGGCTTTATATATATATATATATACACACACACACACAAACACATCCATTTATTCTCAAATGTTAACTTAAAGAGAATAAGAACAAATTAACCTTCCAAAAATTGATTTTTCAATTTTTATTTTAAAAAATAAAATGAACATTATTGATTCCAAAATTAGATAATGCATTTAGATTTGAAGTACCAGCGTTAATAAATTGAAATAAAAGATGCAAATTCAAACAGACATGCCCCTTTTTTTAAAGAAACAGTTTTTAAGAAAGTCTTTTAAATATTTTTTAACTGAGATGTATAAGTATTTTTTATAATTATTATTCTCTATTTATATGCCGACAGTGTTACAGATATGCATTATACTTAAAATTACTTCTGTTTACTCAGAATTACTTCTGTTAGCAACAAAAATATTATTATCAATTTATTACTAATTTAGGCATACCCATGGACAGATCAAAGCTTTAAAACAAAGATTTTGCTGTAAAATGATGAAAAATTGAAGAAAAGAATATAGTTATATGTTTTAAAGAAGTTATATTTTCAAAGATTTATGCAGATTTTGAAAAATTGACAAAACTTATTCTTTAAAGGTAAAACAATAATTTAAAAATCAGTAAGGAACCAAAAATGCTTAAAAGACAACATAAAAGAAATGGAATTTACACAGCCATCACTTTTCTCAAAACGAGTTAACCCATTTAAATTCCCCTCCAAGAAAAAATTAATTATTGAGACCCTGATTTTGTTTAAAATATGTTATATTTTTATAAGAATTCAAAATTTCTTGAATTAAAAATTTAGAAATTTTTTTGACCTCTACATGTTAACCCTTTGCGACACACATATTTAAAATATATTTTAATCTTTAAAAAAATGCCTTAGAATAAGTCAGATGGACTTACTTACGTGCCTTTAAGGCTTGAAAAAAAAATTCTGCACTTTTATTTTTTACGGGGGAAGGTGGGATACCGTTTGTCCTACCATGCAACTAGCACATGTATTATAGCATATTGGTGTAGCAGGGAAAAAAAAATCATATGTGGAATGAATAAACAAAATAAAGCGTGCATTCTAAATATTCATAATAAACACACTAAAATGCATTTTGTACTTATTGCATATATGCATGACTTGTAAAATTTTGCATATATATATTTAATATTTTTAAATTTTAGGAACAAAAGAAAATATTTTCTTGATATTATTTTAAGATTAAAATTTGATACTTGTACATATGATACTAAATAAAATATTAAAATTGGCACTTGATTCAAAAACATTTATATATGATTAAAAATTGAAAAAAGTCATTTTTCATAAAACTTTGAAAAACATGTTGTTTCATTCTTTTGTAAGTATGGAGGCACTTCACATGTTTCACACATCCAAAATGTTCGGTCGTTCTTCTTTCGATGTGCTGCAATATGCACATTTCTCTGCTGCTCCGTTCTCTCTGGTGTGTAACTTACATTTTTTAGTCTCTTTTCTGGTTGTACGAACGGGTTTTTTAGTTTTTATTTGAACTGGGGATTTCAGTTCATTTTTCAGCTCTTTCTTGCCTGCAAAGTGCCATTAGACCTTCTATAACTGAGAGACTAAAATCTTTCATTGTTTTTACAACCATGATCGGGTTCGCGAACAAACTTAAATAGAATAAATGTGTTTATACTTGCATCTAAAAAGTTTACTATACTCGCAAAATGTAAAAAAAAAAAAAATATCCTGTGCCACCATTTCTTGCTTTTGCGGTCTATTTCATATAGTCCTTTCAGTTGATCAAATAAGTCGACATATCCATATTCTTATATGTATGAAATAATGCTGTTTGGGCACAGTACTTTTTTTGTTGTTGTTTTTTTTGTTTTTCCATCTCGTTCTTTTCTATTAATTTCTTTCAATTTCAGTTGCCTTTTCCAAGCAAGACAGGATAGAAACGGATCTTTTATCCTTCCTTTTTATGCAATAAATTGAATCATGGCTAACTGAAAAGTCTATATATTCCTCTCGACATAAATTTGTCTTCTTTTTAAATTTTTGGGTAGATACTTCCGATTCATATTTACAGTGCCACATGCATAGATGGGTCTGTGTCTTTAAAAAGCGAAACAAATTATAACTACTTCCCTTTCTTCTTCAGCAATAAATTCAACCTCAGTTATTCTCTCCTGGATTTCAATTTCATCTGAATCAGAACTGACATCTGAAGCATTTGAGTCGCAATCGGATGGCAGTTCAGCAAAAAGATCCAAAGCTTCCTGAGTTGTTAATTTTTTTCTAGACATTTTAGCACATCAGAGCATACAACGGATGTAAAAGCGCGCACAATCAGGAAAAAAAGTAGATGCAAAAAAGAAAAGGAAAATAATCGTGAGTGCTGCCATCTATTGAGCGGAAATTCAAGTGTGTGGTGAGACAAATTTTAACCCACTTATTTCAACTGCAAAATTAATGTTATAAAATATTGAATCCAATTAAAATTTTTGAAAATAAAATACCTTTGAATATTAAAAAGAATCACACATATCATAAATTGTATACCAAAATTTTTAAAATATTGAAAAATGCGAGATACATGGATATCACTCTTGTGATCCTATTTTGAATATTTTTTGCTTATAAACTTAAGCCCTGGTATAGTAGTAACATCTACTGAGAAAAATAATAACTAAAATAGATTATTTTTAAAAGATTAGAAAATTTCTAACGGAAACTGCTAACTGAGAAAATAAATATTAATTAGGTGGGACATATATTGACCCACCATGCCGCAAAGGGTTAAATAGTTTCAATTAAATTTCTGAACAAACATATCTGCAAATGTGAATGCAAATTTGAAGTGATCATGTATCTGAAATTTGTTGTTAAGGGCGTATTAAGTTTTACTTTTGAAAACTATAATAACTATGGATAATTAAATTTTTACTTTAACATAATAATATGTAGTTTTTATAAATAAAATATTTTGATTATGTAGTGAGTTTTACTAAAATAATAGTTATTAATAAGGGAAATTTTCCTGTTTTCTGCTCTTGAAAATGTCTCAATATAAACACTCGATCATGATATGTTTCGAAAATTATTAGTAAAAATTCTAGGCTTCAAAAGTTTCATTAGTTTTCATTACTTAGTGCAAGGGTGTCCCGTGAATTTTGCCCTTTTTTGCTTCAATAAAATTAGTGCCCTCATATTAGTCGACAGCATTTAAATGACTTACACATAATTTTTAAATAGAATAATGAAGGTGATGATTTAAAAAAAAATTTCAGAGATTTACTTTTGATATATTGAAAAAGTATTCACTCAAACAAGACATTACAAACAAAAATTCGGCAAAATTATAGCTAAACACAGTTTCGTACATGCAATTTTTAAAAGCTCAACTCGCTGTTCACACATGCTAAAATATAAAATAAATGTACATGCATATTACCAGCAGATTAACCGTGCAGCTCATGCGATTTTCTTTGTTTTCATCAGTGACTATAGTTCTATACTCCAACAGCCTTTTCATCAATCTTACAACTGTTCTAACAAACAACATGCCTTTCTCATGCATAGTTTGGTGATTTTCACAAAGACCTCCAACTCTATAACAATAATAAATTATGCACAAAAAAATTACTTCATTTTATAAAATTAGACAGTTATGAATGCTAGAAAAATTTCTGTTACCATTAACACAGAAACACTTTAAGTTAACATTTTTAACACAATAATTTATTTGCATCAACTCAATTATAAAAATCTATTAATACCTGCCAGTATCTGCCAATATGTCACCAAAGATACCAACCCTAACCCTGATTCTTAATTCCTCCTGTGAGGGCATTGCAGTTCTTGACGCAGTTTTGCATCCTTCTAGAGAATTTGTGCTGCCCACAAGACTAATGCCAGTAATGAAAGTACCACAAAGGAATGTTTTTTCTCATTTCACGGGGAGAAAAGTTTGACTTACTTGATGATCCACATTCAAGAAAAATCACATTTTATTGATGATCACTTGATTCATGAGAATTGCCATCAAATAGCGCAATAAGTTTTATGGCACAATTTATGACATGACCTCAACCAAATGAGCTATTTGTATCTGACACAGGATGCATTATTTATAACAAAATGTTATGAAATTATGAACCAACTTAATAATGTAAATCCTATGTTCCTGTTAAGAGTACAGCTAAATATTAGGAAATCAGATTTTATTAGAATTAAATTTTTGTATAGAAATTAAAGAATTAATCCCTTTTTACTGAAGTTTCAGTCAAATTAATACACTCTGCTTTTCAAAATGATTTCTATTGCCAAACTAAAGGAATGATAACAGAAAATGGTTTTTAATGCACTTTTGTAAAGTAAATGTTATTTGAGGTAAAACACTGTCTGATATTAAAATGTTAATATTATTTATATATTTTAATCTTATCAATAATCTAAAAACAAACAAAAAACTACCTGTAGTTCCTTAGCTGTAAGGCATCAATAATGGATTATAGCAATGAATTTCAATAACTATCATTGAACTCAAATGAGGAAGAAAAAATTGAAGAACCAATAAATCACATACTGCAGGGAAAGCCCGACTAGTTACCATTCAGTACACAAGAAAGCTCAAGTAACCACAAATTTAAAATTTTAGACACCCATAAAAATTAAGCAAATAACAGACTTGTAAAGCCACTATTCAAAAACAGGTAAGTTTGATATCATAACACAATTATAAGAGCTTTGCCTTGGTTTTATGTAAACGCCATTATTCTCAAATAAGCCAGTTAAGTGCTTATAAAGAAACATATAATTTAACTGCTATTTATTTATTTTTTCCCTTGCATTTTGAAAACATGATTAATATCTGGGACCTGCCTTCAGTGGAATGAATGGTATGCAGTTTCTAATGTTGTGAGATCCTGGCATTTAGAAAAGTATGTGTATATAGGTATGACACATGGATTTATTAGAAAATGAATAAAGAAGGATGATGCAATGTGAAAAATGATTTAAGCTTCTTTTATATGTTGATTATATAACTAAATAAAGAATAATCTGTTACTTTAAACTTCTGTCTTAGTGCAAGTTTGGTGACATCTCCAATAGGTTTGATGGTCAATGGAATTTCATAATCAGATAAGATGTTTTATTTTCGCATGTTTATGGCCTACAAAATATATCACCTTTTATGCCTAATTTCCACATTTCCCCTGAAAATCTGACAAAATTTTATATAGGTTTTGATATATAAGTTAATAAAAAATAAGACAAATGTTCTTATAACTTTAAATTAGAAATTTCTTCCATTAATTTGGCTTTTTAGCAATGAATTGCATTTTTGATATGATCAACTATTTGAAATTTTCTCACATCCAGCATTTTTCGAGCTTTTCCTATAATTGTGCCATAAATAATAAAAATTAAAAATAGAATAATAATGCAAATATACACAGGTTATAAATGGAAAACTGTCAATTACATTTCCAAGAAGAAATCTTTATATTCTTCATCACCTCTTCCTCCTTCAATCAACATATCTAATTTTGTTATCATTTCATGTTCAAACTGAAAAGATTAAAACAAAATAATTTAACAAAATGCATAGAGAAAAACAAGCAATAGAATGTGCATGGCAAAAGTATATAAGAAAATTTGTGTGATAGAATAAATAACAGAATGGTATGGAAAAACATATAACAGAATGTTTATGGCAGAATACATTTTAATAAAACATTAATTGGTTATTACAATGATAAAATTTATATCCTTACATCTGCTACTTCAAGAAAGTACTATAAGAAGATAAATACAGGGTTGCAATGCAAACAGAAGAATAAAATTCCCTGACCTTTCCAAGTGTGTTTTAAGAGAATTACAGTCTATTTGCGCAGTGTGCTGTGCTGAGAAGTAAATTAATTATGCTACCACTAAAAAACAGAAAATTTTGCAAATCACACACATATATATATACAGGGCTGTGGAGTCAGTAGAAAAAATGACCGACTTCGACTCCTGGAATTCTGATGACTCTGATTCGAATCCCTCATATATATACACATGGGTTACAGCTTATGTTTTTAATATAAAAAAAGTAATAGATGCTACAGGAAAAAAAAAATTGATGACATAGCAAATTATTTATATTAATTAGCATTTATTATGAAATGGAAAAACTGGCATTAGTTATTTCTAAGAAACAGTATAGCTTCAGCAAAATTTTCTTTGTTGGAGGGCCATAGATCCGATTTGATAAACTTCAGAGCTGAGAAGAGTCTTTCCACACTAACTCGAGTAGAAGGAAGAGCTGTTACTGTTAGGGATACTTCTTTTAACTTTTCAGAATAGATTTTTATAAGTTCTAAAAAAGGTGTCTTGCAAGCGCAAGCATATTTCTCTATTTCTTCAAAGCCCGTATATAAATCCTTCTTGTATTTTTCCATTTTTATATCTACAGGCTCTTGTTTTTTTTTTTTTAAATTTTTATTCACTTTGTCTTAGCCTTTTCAATATTATCCAAAAATATTTCTCAAAATCTAATTCATCAATAGAAAAGGATGATAGAGCTCACTTGCAATATCTGCAGTTTGACTGTTCTGATTCGAATTCTCCAATTGTTCTGAGAATAATTTCATTCTTAATGAAAGTTCATAGATGGCTTTCTTTGCCCTTTTAATTTGTTCATCATCCAAGAAACTTCGGTGTTTCGGATCTCCATATGTTGAACCCAGCAAGATCTCATTGTCTAGCAAAGTAGTTTCTCTTTTCTTCATTGAAGAAATTATTCCTTCTGAAATAAACCCTCCATTTCAGAAAGAAGAAACATCCCATTCTCACCTCCTGTCAATTCTTCAGATTGCAGCTTTTTTGTGGCTATATAAGGTATAGAAAGAAGAGTTTCCAATTCTGCAAGATCATTCAACAGTCTTCCTGTTAGTGAAACATTAGGGTTATCTACATCTTCTAAAAAGTTCTTAATTTAAAAAAAAAAACCCTTATTATCATCAAATATGTACTTCCTTATTGCATTGCTTTATCAATAATTGCTCCTTTTCCTGCCCGCTTCCTAAGAATGGCATCAATTTTAGGAGTTCTTGCTGTTATTGCTGGTTATTTACCAATGAGACTTGTAACTAAATGAATCTGTTTAATCACTAATAGCAAATATCACATCCTCCCTTATATTATTTATTAATAGGTAAATAAAATAGAAAATAACTCTTGATTAATGTATACAGTCCATAAATAAAAAAATAACTCAGCTTGTCATTAATTTTTTTCCAATTCATTTTAATTTCATTTCAAATTCAAACTGTCCATGGAGTCGATTTGACCTGTTTTTAGCGACTCCAGCTCTGACTCCTTTTACCCCAGAATCTGCCTGACTCCGATTCCGACTCCCTGACTCCACAGCCTTGTATATGTATTTAAAATTTTGCAAATCACATATATATATGCAAGATAAAAAATATAAAAGCAAACTTCTAATTTAATTGGCTATAACCTCTTTTATTTTTAATTAATTTGGAGACTTCCTCTCGCTATCTTAAAAATAGCACTAACTGTGTCATTCAAATTAATCATGTAATGATGTAAATAAGCTTTGCCTTTTATAAAAGACAATCTGATTGGAACTGTGAAAATTGCTCTATGCCAGCTGCCTGAATGATGCTCACATGATACATGCCAGCTGCCTGCATGATGCTCACATGAATTTTTTTTATCTTGCATATATATATAATTGGCCAAGAAAGTGATCACTTCCAATGTTGGCGTAAGATCGCCTTTTTTCGGGATTGCCATATAAAATTCTGACTTTTCCAGATTCTGACTAAAATATTTAAACTCCCTGACATTTTCTGATTTTCTACATAGCGTGGCAACCCTGTAGATAACATGATGTTTCAGACTCCATTAAATATACTAACAACATATGTTAATAAAGATCAAGAGAAAATATTATTAAGAAATTACCAAGGTGTTTTTCGAGAAAAATTTACACAATACATAGTTGCCTGCTTTGCAAGAATAAAATTATTGCAGGAATAAAAATCAGGAGAGTTTTGAAAAAAATTTAGAAAAGCATAAAGTTAATTTTACAGAGAAAATTTACACACATCTGAATATGTCGAAACAATTACACAAGAAAAAATTCTTATGAAAACAGAAAAATAGACAAATATTAATTTAACATAATTACATTATGTTATTCAGCTTTTACTAAAAAGCAGTTTTGTAACATTTATCATCTTGTTTAAATTTCAGAATAACAATACTCAGCAATCACAAAAATGACAGAAAAAAGTATTTTAAAACATGACAGAGGGAAATAAAAATTTTTTGTTATTTTTCTTTAAAAAATGCAATTTTAACATTATTATTATTTTAATGACACTGTAATAATACTATTATTTTTATTTAAAAAATGTTATGAAATTCATGAACCATGGAAACAAAATTTTTATAGATAAATTAATCTTAAAATCTTTGAAATGTTGTTAAGTCACCAAATTTAGAGACACATAACAAAAGAATTTATTCTTCAAAATAGGAAGAATTTGTTTTTAATGTGATAAAGATGACACATGCATTTAAACTCGAATATATGCAAAAGTATGCATTTTAAACACATCTGCCAACAAATTGGCATTATTTTTGGTGCCTTTATAAAAAATTGCAAAATTTTTAAAATGTATTTTGTGCTTAAGATCCAAAACTAGAACTAATTTCATAAAACTGAGGAAAAATTTATAAAAATTAGTAGAAATGTTATCTTTATCTTTTAACTGACTTAACATGCTTTATATTTCAAGTACATGTGCATGTGAATGGTATGTACGTGCATTTTAGCCCAACCAAAGAGTGCATTCACCTCCCTGCTTTGTGTATGTTACTCTGCAAACCAGAAGAAACATTATATTATTAGCTTGATAAGAATTATATCTGTTTGTGCTGTAAATAAGGAGCTGTTCCTGTACTATATACATATCTGTACTATACATAAAAACACAAAATACAAAGGAGGTCTCACAGGCATCAAATCAGCAATCTAGATCTAACTCTGGAAACATTTGTGCTAAATAAAATGACTGGTATAGTTATTTGATAATGATTGAATATATGTAAATAATTTTGATTAGATGTTGAAGAAAAATTTTACTAACCGCTCCCTGTATGGAATATTGTTACATGTGTATGGTTTCATAATGGATTGAATGCACACAAAACCGATGACAGCTTGATAAAATTTATTTTCCCACAAGAAACACTTTACAACATTGGAACTTTTCACAAAAATACTTGCACAGTTCTTATCGGTACAACAAAGCACAACCAGTAGTTACCACTTCAAACTACTCAGAACATTAAATGTAAGACAATATAAGAAGCCTGAATGCATAAGCTCGCACAGTGATCTCTCATTACTCTCCGCTAAACTCTGAGCTCAAATCTGAACTAAATTAACTGATGCTCTCTCTCCTGTTTTATATAGTTTTGCTCCATCTGCTGATTCTTAAAATTGCCGGAAGGCATACACTGCTTCAGTTACATAGGGTCAGATACAGTTAGATCAAACCAGTTGCAGCTACACAGTCACCAAAACCATCGCCAATTTGAGATAGTTATTTAACTCAATGTTAAATGGACTTTTCCCTGTAACCTTATTTTTCTCATGAAGCTTCAGACTCTTGAAGTCTTTCATGTTGCATAATATAAGAGCTACTACAATTTAGATATAATTTTATTAAAATTATTACATATCCTACAAAATTTACTTGCAGCTACACAGTTGTCAAATGGTCACCAAGTTTAGCAATAGAAATTAGTTGTCAAAACCATCGCCAATTTGGCGATATAGATGTTTAACTCAATGATAAATGGACTTGCACCTGTAACCTTATTTTTCTGGCAAAGCTTCACACTCTTGAGGCCTTTCGTGTTGCACAATACAAGAGCTACTACAATTTACACATAATTTCATTAAAACTATTATGTAGCCTACAAAATTTGTACCACATCTAAAGAAATTAGTTCTCAGAATAAACATAATAAAATTTTTGTCACCATAATTTTTCACATTTACAAGGCTGGTCCTAAGGCACATGCAACACAAGAGACATCCTACAAAACTTTGCAAGGTTTGTTCCAAACACAGAAAGAGACAAAAAGCATGTGAAACTGTTCTACACAACAATCTCATTAAGGATGCAACTTCACTTATCAGAGGAATGGAGAAACCTACTCTGAGCATGACCTGTCTTTTCAACTATGCACTACAACTTCAATGGCAAACATTATACACTTGCACTGCATTCATCACCACAAAAAAGGGGCTCTTCAGTAATTTGGACAAAGCTCCAACAAGCCAACAGTCAGACATAAAATATTTGATAGTTTGTGAAAATGTTGTTTGGTGACTTTACACATTTCACCCCCCTCAAATCTTGCAGATCACTCCTTCATGGTGAGCGGTGGCACTGAGCAGATTAGGTGAAGAACATCAGGGTAGTATTCTCCTGGTAGGGTCACCCACAGAATTAAGGCCATTCCATTTTGCTCAGCAAAGA